CGCACCTGGGAGGCGGGGCCGCACCTGGGAGGCGGGGCCGGGCGGCGGAGGTGGGGGCCGCGGCGTCCCCGGGCGAGGCGCTGACGTGAGCCTGGCGCACCTGGGCCAGGCAGGTGAGGGCCGGCGCGGGGCGGGGAGCGGAGCCCTCAGTCCCTACCAGCGCACAGCCAGGCGTTGCTCGCCCTACGGGTCGAGGAGCGCGGTGGCGGCGGGTGATCGTACCTGGGGACTTGGTTCGGAGGGACGTTGGCTTCTGGCAGCCGGATTGAAGACAGGTGGGAACGCCAAAGTCCGGAGACTGGCTTGGGGACGGGAGGACACGCCCGCTGGTGAAGGGTCCCCTCCGGAGCCTGCAGGGGTGAGGAGAGCTTACTTAGGGACATCTGTGCGTCGGGCGATGTCCTCTAGGGCTGGGTGCCCGTCCCTGTGACCCAGGTGGCTACTGGATGGTCAGCCCCAGCTTGGGATCGCCGGACCCTTCCCGACCCCTTGCTTCGGTCCACTTCCTTTCCCTCCCCGCCCAGCGGGAGTGCGCGGCTCCCAGCCTCCACCCGCCCACCGTCGGGGCGCGCTGAGGCGCCTCCACCCCTCTGGTCCTACCGGCTCGCCACTCCGCCGGCCCTAGCTGCCCAAAGAGGGGATTTCCCGGGACGGACGGCTGGCCCTTGATCTTGGTGGGTGTTTTGAGAAACTGCGGGTCGGGGCGACCAGTAGCTTCGGCCAGTTTGTTTCCTCTCCTGGAATTTGTTCAGCACCGCCAGACCCCTCTCCCTGGGCCTGGGAGACACCCGTGGATTTCCAAGTAGCCAAACGAGGTGCTGGGGAGGGTGGCGCCGGGTGTGGTTGCTCTGGGGGTGAGGCTCTCTTCGCCTGAAGGGGCTGGAGGGCGGGTGTGGAGAAGTGGGGAAAGTCGTCCGGGCCGGGCTGGAAAGCAGGCCCGGGGTGCCTGTGTTCACAGGGAGCCTGCTGTGTGGTAAAGGGCTCATCCCGACGCCACCCTGCTGTCTTGGTCGCTGTCAAAAGTGGAAGCCAGGAAGGGAGAGGAAGAAGGCGAGTGTGAGCAGGGGTTGGAGAATGCGGGGTGCCGACCCAAGACAGTTCTTTAGGCTTAGATGTTTGTATAACGCTTGACACCAGCACCCCATACAGGGTTGCTAGCTCTCTCCAGCCCCCAACTTCAACCACGCAGGCGGGGAAGGGCATAGGAGTTATGGCTAGAGGCTCAGAATTTACCCCTAAAAGGGGCTGAACTAAATGGAGGAAAGACCGGGGAACTTGGAAGATGGCATTTCAGGTCCCTCCAAGAGGAGGGAGAAAAAAAGCAGGACCATCCCTTGAGGCCTGTCTGCAAGAAATGAGGGTGTGTGTGTTTTACTCTGAGCAAAATCACTGACAGTTGAATCTCGGCTTCGGGGTGGCCGTGTTCTTGGGCAGGAGCTGCAGAGAAGGCAGTGCAGGTGTTTCTAGGGGACCTGTTTCCTGGATTGGGGGTGTGAGAGAGGATAGTTCATGCCTTGGGGAGGTTGAAAGCATCTGCGCTCAGTGCCCAGTGTGAGGGGAGTGATTGGGTTAGCATCTTTGTTCTGTGGCTGGTTGAATACCTTTTGAAGACTCAGGCCTTGAATTTTGCTATAATGGCAGCTAGAGATAGCTAGAGCTGAATTCAACTAGGCTAGGGTTGTTCTGTGGGCCTTGGGATTTGGGTGGCAAGAGAGTTTTGAAAGAAACCTTTGGTTTAGGTGTGTTTGAGGGTGGGTGTCGTGCAGTCTCCCCCCCAAGCGCCTTGTTGGCCCTCTGTGCTGCTTGGATCTTTGTTGATGTGTTTGGTTTTTGCTCTTGGTGTACAGAAGAAGGGAGAGACTTGGAGGGCTGGGTGCAGTGGCAGGTTATGGTAGAGCACACTGACTCAGAAGTTTTGGGTCCAGGCCCCAGTTAAAACACGTTGCTGTGCCTCAGTTAACCCAGCTGTAAAATGGGGATGATAATAATACTTCTAGATCATGAGGATGAAGTCAGACATGTTAAGTAAGCATGTATGTGAAAACTATAAAGCCTTTGTAGATATAGAGGATTGTTGTTACCATGGTTTCTGTTAGCTGAAGGCCATCATCTTTTTTACCTCTCAATGGCCAAGAATGCCTTAGCTTCCTGTGGTTTAAAAAAATATATATATATTACTTGTAGTATTCTGTTTTTAAACTATAAATCAAAACATGCCATTGTAGGAAAATGTGAATCGTATAAAAGTATGTAGGGAAGCATGAAAGTCATCCACAATCCTACCATCACTAAGGTAACTACTTGGGTAATGACTAAGAATTTCTTGTTGCATCAACATCTTATTTCTACCCCTTTTAAAAATTCTATGCACATACATACACAAGTGCATGTTATGTTACAAGATGGAGGAGATACTATCCAGTCAATATTGTACGATGCCTTTTCCCTCTTAAGTACATATATAAACATTTTCCCAAATCCAATAAAAATTCTTCAGATGCCTTGATGTTCATAGCTGCTTGATACGGCAGCCTATGAATGTCTGATGATCTGTTTTTCCCTGTTATTTTGGTTGCCTCCCAAGTTTCCCTCTCTGCCTGTTTTTGGGTCTTAGTTACTGGGTGGCAGGTGGAGATGCTGGTTGGCTTGGAAAAGATGGGGAGGGTTAGCTGTGATGGAGGTGGGGCAGGGAGGAGGAGGCAGGGTAGGGTTGCCCCTGCGTGCTGCCATCTTGGGAGAATGCTGAGAACACGGCTCTAGATCTCAATCACAGATCTCCATGGGTGGATACTTCTCCCTCCACATAACTCTGTGTGCAGTTCCTTGTGTTGGCTTGGTTGCCTTAATGTTTTTCTTGATGTGCCATGGATCAATTAGGAGGAATCCTCTTCTTTAAGGCCCGCAATCCTTCAAGAGGTGGATTTCACATGTCTGCCAGTCCTAGACAGGACTGACCATATTGCAATAAGTGTGTTAGGCGCTCAGTTGTGTCCGACTCTTTGCGACCCCACGGACTCTAGCCCGCCAGGCTCCTCTGCCCATGGGATCTCCCAGGCAAGAATACTGGAGTGGGTTGCCATTCCCTTCTCCAGCGGATCTTCCTGACCCAGGGATCGAACCCGGGTCTCCCATGTTGCATGCAGATTCTTCACCTCCTGAACCACCAGGGAACAGTATAGGATGGCTGACAGTATTGCAGTAGATCTTCTCAAAAGCCCCTCACTAGGTGGACCCGTTTGCCACCCATTTCCAGTTCTCTTGGTTCTTCCTTCGCCCCATCCCCCCCATTACCACAGGCCAGGACTGAGGAAGGGAAGGCTAGAACTTGCCCTGCGGAGGATATGCATTACCTCCTTATAAGGTAAATGTTCTCCCGGGTTTGATAGCTTGATTTGCTGCCCTACAGAGCAACCTACACCAAGGCCAAGAACTTGGGGGAAGAGGGCACTTGAACACCCCATGCCACCTTGCCTGCCCTAGGGGAGCTCTGCTCCCTAGGGGGGCAGGTTTCAGTTTCACAGCTTGGTAACTGGGTCAGAAGGCTCAGGTGAGGGCAGGTCCTGCTTTGCTCTTAAAGTGCCGGTGACCCAGCTGGGTTTGAGTTTTCCCGTTTGTTGTCAGGCTGGCTCAGGAAAGAAGTGACGCGTTAGGGGCCACCCCCTCAGCTAAGCTCCTCCGAGGGGGAGACTTAAGCTGACTCAACTGGTTTGATTTCTGAACTGCAACCCTGGTGGGAATCTTCCTGGGTGGGAAGGTGACTTATTTATCTTCCTTTTCTCAGGTTCTTGTGGGGTTTGAGCAATTCCAGCATGTATTTCTTCAGGCAGTCTGATGAAAACATTGTTTAGTAACTGACCTCGCGCTTGTCACACAGTAGCTGACGAACAAATATTTGTTGAATGAACGTTGTTTTGCAGGCATCTCTTTCTCACCTGAAAGTAAAAACAAAGTGAGATAAGAACATCAAAAAAAAAAAAAAAGACTAAATGCATCATCTCAGGCAAGCAATTCTCCAAGGGTTTGCTCTTTCCTTTAGACACCCAGGTGGGACCCGCCTTTGTTTCCCCGCTGGCACCAAATGTTATCTGCTAGGCTGTGCTGAGCCCTTCTGTTTTCATGAGAATCAATTGCAGACTTTACCCAGGCTGGCTCCTGTAGCCAATGAGTTCCACTCAGCCTCTGTGGGGGAGATAAACAGACCCAGGTGAGGAGGCTGTCCTAACAGTAGGGAGCGTGTCTCATGACTGTTTTTAGGACTCTAGGGTTAGGTACTGTGATATTTGATTATTTCAGGGCTTCTGAGCTTTACCAGACTCAGTTACAGAGCACTGGATTGTTCTAGGAATAACCAGCTCAGACTCCCCTTCCCTTTCCCCCCCCCCTGTACAGAACCTTTGGGTGGTCCAGAGAAAGGAAACCTGACTTGAGGCCCAGCTCTCAGATTTCTGTGGAGACACTGCCTGCTCATCGATGTAAGTGAGGACTTTGCCACCAGCACCCACCCCTTTGCCTACTTCTCTCTCATCACGATGCTGTCACTCCATAGTTGTCTAAAAAAGAGAGCGCACGCTTCAAGTTCTTGTCTATCCTTTGCTGTTTCCATAACTTTTTTCTTCCCTCTCCTGAGATGAGATTGAAAAGGGCAATTTGCCTTCTGTTCCCTTGGTACTTCAGGAAGGACTGTGTTCCAGCAGGGATGACATCATCTTTTTATTTTTCTGCCTCAGGATTTAAATAGAAGAAATGTGATCTACTTACATGATAAGTCTGATTTGGCTGGAGCATGAAAAATAAATGGCTTTGGAATAAGAATCAAAAGAACCTTTTAACCTCTTTTCTTTTCTTCCCCACCTGGCACAGTTTATTCCCATATTTAGTTTCTTTGCTGTAATCTAATGAAACTGTAGTTCTATCATACGGGAACAGTGGCTGGGAACTTTTCCCAGGGGCTGGCCTAATTCTCCTTTCCCCACTTCTCCCCGCTCCCCCCAACCCAGATCATGGCCCTCCACCCCCGCAGAGTTCGGCTGAAGCCCTGGCTGGTGGCCCAAGTGGATAGTGGCCTGTACCCGGGGCTCATCTGGCTACACAGGGACTCCAAACGCTTCCAGATCCCCTGGAAACATGCCACTCGGCACAGCCCCCAGCAAGAGGAGGAAAACACCATTTTCAAGGTAAAGGTCTTCTTTTACCGTCTCACTCGAGACGCTTCCCAGCTCTTAGGCCTTTCTGTTTTTTTGTTGTCTTGTTTTCAGTTTTGGCATGAAGAAGGTCCTAGATCCAAAATGCTGATGCAGCAGAATGTTGTTGATGTGGGTGGGGGGACAGACTTAGCAGGCGTAGTGATTTCTCTTGTTGGGGCATGTCTGTTATTACAGTTGAGGCCGTTTATTCTTCCCCATCGGTCAAAGGTACTCAGCTCACATCCCAAGGGATGCCACGTGTGACTGGCTATGCTCCTGTTAATTGCCTGTAGGCTGGGGCTGTTCTAGAGCTCTGGAGGGTCAGCCAGCAGTCAATCTTTCATTCACTCAAGGCTCTTTCTCTGGTCTGGAAATGGCTATCCAGACTCAGGCAGAACTACTGAGTGGTAGCAGGCTTCTAACAGCCCGTAGAATGGGTGTTGAGGGCCCACTGCAAGTTTCTTTTGGTTTTAAAACATTTTGCCCCATCCATCTATGCATGCGTGCCCTGTCGTGTCTGACTCTTTGTGACCCCATGGACTATAGCCCTCCAGGCTCCTCTGTCCATGGGATTTTTTCCAGGCAAGAGTATTGGAGTGGGTCACCATTTCCTCTTTCAGGGGATCTTCCCAACCCAGAGATCGAACCTGAATCTCCTTCATTGGGGGAGGCAGGTTGTTTATCACTGCGCCATCTTAAAAAAGAAAAGGTGATTTAATTACAGGTTTTTATTCTACAAATATTTTCTTCACTAAAGAATAGCTTGAATGTGAGAGTTATTTTGCTTAACTGAAAACAAGACTGAATCACATGGCATTTTATAAAATGTAAACCATCTGAAACCAAAATCTAAGACGGAAGTCAGTGAGAAGGTAGTTGTAGGAAGGGCTATTATGTGGTTTGTAACTCTGGAACCTGTGCCTCCGCTCCAGACCAACTTCTCTGTGCTGGTCAGTCTTCTGTCTCTTGAGTAACTTTAGTTCCTGCACCTCCAAAACACGGAGAAATGAGTTTCTCCATTTTTTTCCCTGACTAGCAGCTGGAAGTCAAGTGAAATCCAGTTTCTATCCTGAACCTCTCAAGACTGATGCCCGAGGTTTTGGGCATCTGAGATTGGGCCAGGAGAAGCCATCCTAGAACTATTCACCACCCAATATAGTTATATTGGAAATAGAGATGAGAGGTAGAGAAAAAATTGGCCTGTGAATACTTACAAAGTAAATCAGTGCTTTTAATTAAAAAACTTAATAGTGATATGAAAGTGGTAAGGAAACCACCTGGAAGCCAGCACCAGTCGTTGGAGCTGGCGCCAGAGGACGACGGGCCCAGCTGGCCTCCTGCCTGCAGCCGGACTTGCGGTTGAAGTGCCTGGTGGTGGCTGGCCACGGGGAAGGAGGCTGTTTCCCGAAGGTTCCACTCACGAGAAATGCTCTGAATCCTTAGGGCTCGAGGAAAAGGTGGCTGTGGGCAGCTGCTCTGTCCTAGTTATATCTGTGGATCTGTTTGGGGAATGCTAAGGGGAGGTCTGGGTATCAGGAGGAGAGTGAGGGTGCCTTCACAGATCCCAAGCTCTGGCAGGCCGTTGGCAGGATAAGGGTGTCGAGGTGATGAGCAGCATTAAGAGGGTGTCTGCTGCACACTCTAGGCGCCTTATCTCATTTAGTTCTTGATGACGCTGGAAGGAAGATGTTACCCTCCTGTTGTAGATGTAAAAGCTGAATCTCAGAGGGGCTACGTAACTTGCCCAAATCGCATAGCCAATAAGTCGTGGGGCCAGGATTTGAACCCAGGCCTATCTGCTCCTGTTCCATTATCAGACAGCCCCTTCGGACCAGGAGCTGGGACTCCTGGCTTCAGGTCCTACTATCGTCACTCGCATGTGTGGTCTTGAACAAGTCACATAATCTCTTTGGGCTTTAGCTTCCCCTTTGGTAAAACCGGGATAAAACCAGTCTTGCCTGCCTCATGAGATTGTTGTGAGAATTGGGTGAAATAAATGTCTAGAAAGGGACTCATAAATTGCCATAAAAATGCAGCGACTGTGTCCATTTTTGGAAGAGAAATAGGGACCTGCCTGGTGACCAGAATCTCAGAATGTGTTTGAACACAAGTTGTTTATGAAGACAACGGCTGTCACGTGGTGGATACCACCCTCTGCTGCAACAGCCTCAGGTCCTCCACAGCGTCTGAATGGGCCCTGGGGGGTGGCTGTGCTGTGAGCAGAAAGGGTTCTGGGTTAGTCTGGCTGCTCTCCATGGAGGGGCAGGGATTCAGGGAGCCACAGAAATTTGCAAACCTGTGCCAAAGTCAGCACTGCCCAAGCCTGTGGGGCCAGAAGGCGAGTGGACCTGGAGGTCAAACAAACGGAGGGGAGAACAGGGAGGGGCAGCCGCCAGGTGCCACCAGGTGCAACTGGAGATAGGACTCCCTGGACACTGGGGGCCAGTGAGGTGGAGATCTCCTACTGGGGGCTGGATGCAATGGAGCCTGCTACACTGAGGGCAGAAACCTTGTCTGCCCTCTTCACTCCACACCGCACAGCAAAGAGGGGAGCCCCCCCCAGCCCCAGAAGAGGGCAGGAAGACGTGAGTGAACTGGAGGAGAAGGATTCAGGTTGGCCATTGGAAGAAGCTTCCTCGTGACTGTGAGGCTCTGCAGGGAGTGATTGAGGGAGACCAGAGTGCTCAGAGGACGGAGCAGAAAAACTCCCATCTGGGCTTGAGGAAGGAGTCCACAGTCAGGATCGGAGGCGGGGAGGTGTGACTGGATGAGCGGCAGGCCTGTTAGCTTGAACAGGCTGCCGTGTGCTTCCCGATCTTGGGTCCTCGGCAGATGACACCCCCCTTTTCTGCACCAGGACGTACTCCACAGTCCTGAAGAAAGCGCGGACATGGAGGATGTGTCCACGGCGGGGAAGGGCGGATAGCCCATGAAGCAGACACATGGATGCCTGTTAGACCTGGAAGCTAAGAGCCAGAGTGGCGAGGCCACCGTGGTTTTGGGCCAGGCCACCAGCCACTGGTGTTTCTAGAGAAATGTTCCCAGTGTGGGAGTTTGAGGAAGTAGGGAAAGGCAGGCTGTGTGAGTTTATTAGGACTTGAGGCCCTCCGCCGCCCGCTCAGGTGAGTTGAATTCTGAGTGCATGTCCTGCCCTCCTGCAGGCTATTTTAGTTCTAAAGGCACTTGGCTCCTGCAGTTATTTGTGCATCAGATTGAAGATGGAAGGGGGAGGGAACAGCAAGACCACACTCTTCATATCATATGCCATCTTCCTTTTTCTTCTTGTTATATAAGCAACTCGTGTCAAAAAAAAAAAAATAAGTGAAACAAAACAAGAAAAATTAGCTGCAATCCTGCTTTCAAAGTTACCATTAGTATCTTCGTGTACATTTGTTTCAGATGTTTCTTTATTTTCAGCCCTTCATTATGGCCATTGTAGTCACCAACTGGCACCAAAGCTTGAGATAAGGCTCCTCTTTTCCCAAGATTATATTTGCATCTGGTTGAATCTCTCTCCCTTGCCTGGTCCTCCAGGGTGCCTGCTTCCTGCTGCAGCCTCTGTACACTGGGGTTGGGACGATGGGGCAGCCAGGCTGTGTGTGTCTTGTCTGCATACGGGAGGGTGGGCACGCTTTGCAGCATGTCTGGGCAACAGCAGGCATTCACTGCAGTTTTCTGTCCTTTCAGGCCTGGGCTGTGGAGACAGGGAAATACCAGGAAGGGGTGGATGACCCTGACCCAGCTAAATGGAAGGCCCAGCTCCGCTGTGCTCTCAACAAGAGCAGAGAATTCAACCTGATGTATGATGGAACCAAGGAGGTGCCTATGAACCCAGTGAAGATATATCAAGTGTGTGACATCCCCCAGCCCCAGGGCTCGATCATTAACCCAGGTGAGGCCCCAGCTCAGGAAGAAGGTAGACAGTGTGCTGGGTTCCTGGCCAGGCCCTTCAAGAGATAGCTGACTTGAAAATTGCCTCTCTTAGAACGTTTATGACTGCTGAACAAGAAATCCTGTCCCTAAAAAGGCTCAGAGAACAAAAGATATAAATGCAGCAAGGTGTTCCTGCTCACTTAGTGGAACACTAAAGCATTAGAAAATGGAGGGAGCATAGAGTTCTGTAAAAATAGCTTCTCTCTGGGCTCAGCCCTGAGAAGAGAGGCCAGAGAGTTTAGAAGAAGGAGGGATTAAAACTTGGAAGGTCTGAGTTCTAAACCTAGTTCTTTTCACTGCGCTACCATGGGACTTTGAATCAAGTCCTTTGACATTTTGAGCCTCAGTTTCTTCCATTATAAAACCTGGGCTCTCATCTTTCCTGCCTATTTCAAAGGCTATTCTAAGAATCAATTAACATGACATTCTAAAAGCTGATAAGTTCTCTTTATAAATGATGGGTGAATGTCATTGAATTTGTATGGTACAATCCAATTAAGAGCCAGATAATTTGGACTTGACCCCCAGTGAATCTAGGGATGTCCCACCATGAGGGAAGGGTTCTGTCCTCACATTAAGTTTACAAAGGAGAGAAGTTGTGGTCCTTGGGTCCTTAAGAGGGATGTTAATGCATCAGAGTAGGTTTAGAGTAGAAGTTAAAAGTTTTCTAGGAGAAGGGAATAGGGTGAGAGCATACATTAGGGTTCTAGAGAAGGAGCTGGAAGAGGGTGGTGAACACCTTCAGTCCTCACACTTTGGCTAGGGCATTGGTGGTGCAGGCTGAACCCCAGGAGCCTCTGTGCTGGCAGTGGCTAGCTTGAAGTGGGTCAGCTACCAGGATGACGGTGAAAAGTGAGCAGCTTGTTTGTGGGCTTGTGCATCTGTTTTTCGGGTAGGATCCACTGGGTCTGCTCCTTGGGATGAGAAAGACAATGATGTGGATGAAGAAGATGAGGAGGATGAGCTGGACCAGTCACAGCACCACGTCCCCATTCAGGACACCTTCCCCTTCCTGAACATCAATGGTGAGTGGGGTGACGGGCGGGTGTGGAGGGATGAAGAGGAGGTAAGGGGCTTTCATTTTGCAACTGTTGACACTATATCCACCACTGCCTTGGGAGCAATGACTAGACCCTGTGGCCAGGCTGCCAGGATGTTAGCAAGTAGGGGTCGTAGGCAAAGGAATTCCTAGGCCCAGTTATCCCAGTGGGGTGGCTTCTAGGCATAGAGAGCATCTTCTGAGTCTTATGTGATAATACAGAGAAATTAAAAAATGAAATTCATTCTCAATCGCACATACAAATACACCAGCTGTTACAAATTTAGCTGATTTTCGTCAGGTCAAAGTGCAGAGATCATTTTTATGAATTGTAGACCAGTTCTTCTGGTGTTTGTCTGGTATGAATTTTCTGTCACTCTCTTAGCAGGGTCTACTCTAGTAAGACTGTATCATGGGACCCTTGTGGCTTCTACAGCTCTTAATACTAGGCTCCGATAAAATTTACCTACTAGAGACTTTTATCTTTTTTTTTTTAAACCTTTTGAATTCAGCTTCCCAGGAAAAATGAGTTGAGAGATTTGAGGGTCACTGCGTGACAGAGCAGATACTGCATTTTCTGTTCCACAGGATTCTCAAACACAGGGCAAATATCTCTTCTGCAGCATCTGCACTTGAACTTTCCACTGACATGCTCCTAGACGTGTGATTTGCATTCAGTTGAGCAGCTTTTCACTGCCTTTCTAAGTTCCATCTGGCTGTGCGTGCATGCTAAGTTGCTTCAGTCGTGTCTGACTCTGCGACTCCGTGGACTGTAGCCCACCTGGCTCCTCCGTCCATGGGATTCTCCAGGCAAGAGTACTGGAGTGGGTTGCTATGCCTCCTCCAGGGAATCTTCCCAGCCCAGGGATCGAACCTGAGGCTCTTATGTCTGCTGCATTAGCAGGCAAGTTTTTTTTTTTTTTTTACCACTAGTGCTACCTGGCTGCTATGGGTAAAATGAGATAATTTTGCCACCTAGAAAATTCAGTATAGCAAGATGATTCCTTTAGGATTTTGGAATATCCTATTCTAGATGATGCCCCTTCCTCGGAGAGTCAAGAAATGACTCTTATCTGTCTACTTGTCTTCATTTACTTACCCTGTCATTTATAACTTTGCAACCAAGTGATGAGTAAAGATAGTCATCATCAAGCTTGCTCAGCCTAATATTGCCACAGCTACATTCCCATTTAGTGAAATCTTAAGATTTGGACATTTGGAAATGTGAGATTCTTTCCCAAATCCTTGGCTGACTCATTCTGTTCTTCTCACTGCTTAAAAGGATACAACTCATTTCCAGGATATATATACTTTATTATTATTATTATTTATTATATATTATATATATATATACTATATTATTATTATTATTATTATTATTTTACTACTTAAAAAAGATTATTTTTCTGATTTCCTATTTCTTTTCATGTCTTATTAAAGATTCTGTTGTGTGGCCTTGTGTTATGGGCCACCTTGGATCCTTTATGGAAACATGTGAACATATATTAAAAACAAAAGTAAAATGGGTACATAGATTTAACCAGGCTTGTACACAAAGGATCAAAGAAACATTAACCTCTGTGATTTCAGAGCTGTTGGGGAGAGAAAGAAGAATTGTTGAAGAATAGATGCATAAAAGGTGAGGTTAGGAGGAAAAATCTGAAAACTTTGGAGTGAGCCAACTTTGACAATAGCAGGGAAATAGGATGGGTTTTTCATTCTCTCAAGTGCTTTTCACTTCGCTACTATGGGACTTAGGATCAAGTCCTTTGACCTTTTGAGCCTCAGTTTCTTTAATTGGATACTTTGGAATAAATAATACTCTTACATGGTTTAAATTCATAATGGTACAAAAAGGAAATCAGCTGAAAGATTTTCCTTCCATCCTTTCTCTAAACAGTTCCTTTCCTGGAGAAGACAGATCTTACCAGTTTCTTGAGTATCCTTTTAGAAGTTGCATGCATATAAAGTATTTGTTTTTAAACGAATTTCTATGTATTAACACTCAAAGTTAATCAACCAGTTTAGCTGAGTTCATTTTACAGAAGACAACCAGCTTCTATTTAATTGCTGGGCCCAAATTTTGCAACAGGGAACCTCATGTTCATACCCATTCTAATTTAACCCCAGAGAAAACTCACTTGTCTGTTAGTCATCAGCAAAAGCACGTCGTCAGAATCATGAGTCGATGCAAGAACTAACAAGATTAGGAAGCAGAAGCAGGAGAACCTTGTTTCTTTTGGTGTTTGTTGGGGGAATTATTGGGCTGCTACGCCAAGTCGTGGTCCAGTGTTGGACCTTGTAGGTTTTGGAGCCTCAGCCCCAGGTGGTGTGCATGGGTGGTACCCCGCCAGCCCACCCACATCCTTCTCTTCTTCTAGGTTCTCCCATAGCACCAGCCAGCGTGGGCAACTGCAGTGTGGGCAACTGCAGCCCTGAAGCAGTGTGGCCCAAAACGGAACCTCTGGAGATGGAAGTGCCCCAGGCACCTGTACAGCCTTTCTACGGCTCTCCAGAGCTGTGGATCAGCTCACTCCCAAGTAAGTAAGCCTTGGTTTCCTAACTGGATCTTCAGCTCCTATTATAGTCCATTTCCTGCCCCACCTTCTGCCTCCATTTCTTTGCCATGTATAGAATAGTCCCCCAGGCAGCCTCTGTGTCTGGTTCCTGGCTGGCTGATGAGTCAACTGGGGAAGAAGTAAAGAAACATTAGCCCACACCTGCTTGCCCAAGGATATCCTCTGATTGGCCGCTGTGCAGCTCTGAGTTACTCACCTCTTGGGTGGGTGGAAGGCCTGGATTTATCAGGGTATTTGGGGTATTTGGGGACCAGGTTGGTAGTGGGATAGGGAGGTTATTGACTGTGGATTTGGTCAAGGAGGCTCTTGGGTTTTGAGGGGCTTTAGAATCCAGAGAATATCTCTTTCTGAATTGTGCAAAAATCCATCTCATTGAAGAATCAAGGTCCTGCCTCTCCCTTTCACAATATACATGGTAGGGGTGGTGGGCTGGGGGAGGGGGGAGAACTCCCATTTTGTCCGAGAGGCTGATAGCTTTGATGAGACCTATAGCGTTCAATAGACATTTGCTGAGTGAAAATTTACTTTGCTGTGAACAAAGTAAACAAAATTGACTCTGTCCTTTTGTGATATATTATTAGAACAGATCCACAGTGTGTGCACCTCTGTGTGCTTTTCAGAAAGGTGGCTTGGTATTTTTTATCGTCTCTCTGGTTTCTTTAAACTGTGAGGCAAAAACGATAACACAAACCAGATGCTGTCTTAGTTTTTTCAGCAGCTCCTTCCAACGCCAATTGATGTAAAGACTCAGTACAAAATGGGGAGACTACGACCCAGAACTTTGGTTGGAGGAATTCTAGCTGTTAGGGAGTGGTGATTGAACTGAGATAGTATAGATGGACTTTGAACTGTTTGCTTCAAGGCAGCCTTTCAAGGGAATACTCCCAGGATATGTTGATGTCTCCCTGTGTTGCAGGAAGGATAACTATGCCCGTGGCCTTCCTGGATGCTGGCTGAAAGGTGGCTTGAGCCTCATGGACTTGCACGAGTTTTAGGGATGGACAGGCAGAGCAGTGGGGCAAGACTCTCACTGTCCCTTCTTACCTTGCAGTGACTGACCTGGACATCAAGTTTCAGTACCGTGGGAAGGAGTATGGGCAGACCATGACCGTGAGCAACCCCCAAGGCTGCCGGCTCTTCTATGGGGACCTGGGTCCCATGCCTGACCAGGAGGAGCTCTTTGGTCCTATCAGCCTGGAACAGGTCAAGTTCCCGGGGCCGGAGCACATCACCAATGAGAAGCAGAAGCTGTTCACCAGCAAGCTGCTAGACGTCATGGATAGAGGACTGATTCTGGAGGTCAGCGGGCACGCCATCTACGCCGTCAGGCTGTGCCAGTGCAAGGTGTACTGGTCTGGGCCATGTGCCCCATCACCTGTTGCCCCCAACCTGATTGAGAGACAAAAGAAAGTCAAACTGTTTTGTCTGGAAACCTTCCTGAGTGGTGAGTCTTTTTTTCAGAGGATTGATGGGTGGGAACAGCTCCCTGCAAGTACGTCTTCCTCCTTCCTGCCCCGCCTTTCCTGGCTCTGCAAAGATCCTAAGGAAATAGTTTCTTTGGCAAGAAGTCAAGGTAGAAGAAAACCTTGATTCTGAAAACTAAAAGTGACCGGGGCAGAAGGATGTTCCACTCCAAAGCTATATATTTGAAGCCAGTTTTAGGTTTGCTGTGGTTCCTTTGTTGGCAAGAGGGAGACAGCTTTTCATTGCTCCCCAGAGTCCACCAACTTATTTATCCTTCACTTTAGAAGGTGACCCTACTCATCATAATTGGTTAAAAATATAGTCTTCTCATCTGGGACATATTTGAGTTTCAAATTCAAGCAGGTATGTTTAAGGAGAGGAATGAGATGTAAATTTTCCGATGTGATTTGAACCCCAAGTCTAGTTTAAGTGGTGTCCGATAAAACCCTCCGAAATGATGAAAATCTTCTATATTTGTGTTGTTTGGTATGGTAGTCACTAGCCACATGTGGCTGTTGAGTATGTAGATGTGAGTAATGTGACTAAGGAACCATCTACTTTTAATGAATTTAAATGCAGTAGCCACATGTGGCAAGTGGCTACTATACTAGACAACATAACATAAAAGCTGGTATTTACTGAGTGGATATGGAATGACCCAGTACACCGAACTGCTCTTCCATGTTCTACAGATCTCATTGCCCACCAAAAAGGACAGATAGAGAAGCAGCCACCATTTGAAATCTACTTATGCTTTGGGGAAGAATGGCCAGACGGGAAACCCCAGGAAAGGAAACTCATCTTGGTTCAGGTGAGGAGATAAATGTTAACAACTCAACAAGTTGATAAACAAATTTTTATCAATGCTTTAGCCCGTAGGTCTGGGGTTGAGCCTTCAGTTGAGGTATCCATCAGCCTATGTGGATTTTAATCCCATTAGATGGAGGAGCAACAAAGTTTTGTATATTGTACAGTAGAACCAGGCTGGAGAATAGAAGGTCCTCAAGGCAAATTACTGATTCACGGGAGACTCTGCTTTCTCAATGACTTTAGAGTCTTGCAGAAGCCTAATAGGATATGACTCTTTGCAGCTCTTTTAGAAGTCTTTTGAGCTACTTTTTCAGGACATATTCTGGAAAGTGGCAGCAAGACCACTTGGGTTTGGCTGTGGATTTGTGAAACAGGATAGGCAATAGATGAAATTTGGGTAAAAGTCTTTGTCAATAAACAGTTATTTATTTAGGTATGTGATGAGATGCTGCTTCTCGGTTCTTTACCTTCATCTGAACCAAATTCTAAAGTGAACCTTGGCAGGATAGTCCAGAGAGATGAAAGCATATTCTGTGTCTAGACATTAAAGTTGGGGACTTCCCCATAACCTCACTAGTCCTTCCTTCAATCTTGGGTCCCTCCTGCTGTTTTTTTTTCTTTCTCTGAACCTTGTTCTTAGAGGATACCTGTGTGCTCTGTGTCCTGAACAGGTCATTCCAGTGGTGGCTCGGATGATCTACGAGATGTTTTCTGGTGACTTCACACGATCCTTTGACAGTGGCAGCGTCCGCCTGCAGATCTCAACTCCAGACATCAAGGATAACATCGTTGCTCAGCTGAAGCAGCTGTACCGCATCCTGCAAACCCAGGAAAGCTGGCAGCCCATGCAGCCCACCCCCAGCATGCAACTGCCCCCTGCCCTGCCAGCTCAGTAATCATGAATGCCATCTTCCTTCTCTTTTTTATAATATTGTACATATGGATATTTTTTATTTTTCAGATTTAACCAGCTTTCAAAAGCCTTTCTTCTAACAATATTAGTAGTCTCTGACTCTTCAAGTATGTCTAGCTTTTAAAGTTGATTTAATTTATGAAAAAAATCACCCTTCATACTTTCCTCTTCTTTAAACCTCCCAAGGTAGTATAATGTAGTATCAATAGAAGGAGATTTAGCTTGGGAGTTTGGACAACAGGGTTCTAACTGCAGCTTTGCTTCCAGTGGGGTGGCGTTGAACCAAGTCATTTAACCTCTGGGCTTTATATTCGTTACTGTAAAGTGAAGGAGTTAGAATGATGCCTGAAATAATGCCAGCTTTAAGACTCTGACTTGATGACTTCATTCTATTTGTACAAGGCAAAACCGCCTGGAACAGAACCCTTCTGCCTTGTTCTTGCGCCATGTTTTTTTTTTTTTTCTTTTTTGCTTTCATTAAAGTCCCCTGAAGCACTGATTTGTCCAGGATTGATCTCCGTTTGACCTGTTATGCTAGTATAGTAGGCTGGTTCCCTGATGGGGGAGAGGGAGGGAGGGGTGCCAGCTGGTTGCTTAGGAACCAAGCTTGATATCTAAACAGAAATAGGTGCCAAAGTCTGAAAGTCACCCAGCCTGTGGAGTAAAAGCTCACAAATTGAGCTTCTAAAAGGAAGCTGTTGACATAGAAAAAGGTTAGGGATTCTGTGGTCAGGTGTTCAACTTGCTACCACTCAGATACAGGCATACCTCGGCGGTATTGCCAGGCTGGTCCCAAACCCCCACGATAAGGTGAATATTGCCATAAAACAAGTCATGCAGATTTTTTGGTTTTCCAAGGCATATAAAAGTTATGTTTACATTATGCCATAGTCTAAGTGTGCAATAGCAGTATATCTAAAAATACAAATGTGCATACCTTAATTAAAAATACTTGATTGATAAAAAATGGTAACCATCTGAGTCTTCAGTGAGTCATAATCTTTTTGCAATCGTTACATCAAAGATCACTTATCACAGATCACCATAACAAAAAAAAAATAAGTTTAAGTATTGTGAGAATTACCAAAACATAACACATAGACATGAAGTGAGCAAATACTGTTGGAAAAATGGTTCCACTAGTCTTGTTTGATGCAGAGTTGCCACAAACCTTTGATTTGTAAAACACAGTATCTGCAAAGTACAATAAAGCAAACCACAATAATAAAATGAGGTATGTCTGTACCACTGTGTGTGTGTGTGTGTGAGAGAGAGATAGATGGGAGTCTGTGACTCAGTGAGAGCCTTCAGAGAGGATAAAGCTCCCTTGTTCTTCTTTCCCTTCTTTGAGGAAGATGTGAGACTGAGCTGGGCATGCAGGACAAATGCCTCTGACTACAGAAGAGACAAGGACAGTTCCTCTGTGCATGGACATGTTTTCCTTTCATTTGGATTTTTTGCAGTTGGGAAAAACAGGGTGTTGAATATGTTAAGGGCAGTGTGAAGAAGGGCTGGGCAGTGCTTTTCTGGAAAAGACTCATGTAGTACAAACCTGCACGTTTCCCTCCTCGGTGGAGGTAGGTGCGTTTGAACAATTAAGGTGAAGGAGGTAGGTGCGTTTGAACAATTAAGGTGAAGAGTGGTGCAGAACATTGCAGCCATGGCTGCCACAAAGTGGCATTAGCTTTTGTCCTTGACCCTTTTACTCTTTTTATGGTGAAATTCTACATAATTTAAACTCCACGCCCCAAATGGAAAACAAGATGCTAGTCTCTGGTTGCAGGCCCCAATCCTCCTGAATGGTGATACCTATTTTGGGCCATATCGTATTAAGAAAGTCCATGTCTGCTCTGCTACCCTTAAAGCCACCTCCTACTTGCTACTGAAGTTGAGCTTGCTAAAAAGTTGGGCTAACTTTATTTAAAAACCATAAGCTCCCCTCAATTATAAGTAGCAATGGTAATTTATTCAGAATGCTTAAGCTGTGGTTTTAGGGTCTCTAAGGGACCTAGTAGATCTGCTGTTACTAAAGTATGACAAGAGAAATCTGAGTGCTCAATTGTGAGCAGAAGTTGGGCTTCTGGAGACTAGGAAATATGCAAGGTCTAGAAACTTTATACTTTGGGAGCATCTGAGTGGGCGAAGTGAGGGATTTGGAATTGACATCTGGCTGCCTCTGTGTCTGCATAGTTCAAAGTCAGAAAAAAAAATCCACAATAAATACATTGGGAGGACAACTGTTGGATCTGGGCCGGGCCCGTCCCCTTTTCCTATGTGATACTAACAGACTGCCCATCTGGATGAGGGCCCAGAAAATGTGAGCTGGCAAAGGGTGTAGAGCATAGTGTTTAGGTGCCAAGAAAGACTGAACTTTTAGTATGTGACTGTAATGAAGAGCTTATGAATATGTCAGAGGAATGAATGAGTGGTTTTATGAGGCCTTAACCCAATAGCATAGTTTCTTCCTTGTTTTTTTATCCTTTTCAGAATGCTGAGAGAGTGCATGCAGGGCTCTCCACTGATCTCCCTCAGTGTTCTTTCTCTGGTCCTGATGCCAGGTATCCTTTCTTGGAGACTGAGTCTGCTATCTCATTTGGTTGTTACACCATACCCTCCCTTGGTGTTTTCTACTTCTGTGCCTTCAGGCGGTGTCACCAGCTTTTGTTTTCTTCACTGTCCACCCTTCTCCCCATTGGGTTGGCCACAGTCTGGATCTGCACGTCCTGTTCAAAACCAGACTTTAGAACTGCCTGAATGTGGTCTGGGGCAGGAACCACATTATATTGATAAGTGAGACAAAAAAGAACATTTCTTCCCTCCCAATCTTGAGGTGAAATGGTGCATGAAGATTTCTCATGGCGTCTCACTGGGAAAAGAAAACAAAACCCAAAAACTAGTTGTGGGTATAAATGAGAGGGCAAATGTTGGATCTGGGCTGGTCCCATGTCATATAATTAGGTCCCTGGCTATATGTCCCCAGAGCACCCTACACTTATCTTTCGGAATAATCTATTCCCTTGTAATTGCTCAGTATCTGTGTCCTGCATGACTGCAAACTTGCTGGAGGTAAGGACTGTGTGTCTTGGACTGTACTGCCAGCCCTAGCACAGTACCTGGTACATAGTACATTCTCAAATATTTGTTAGAATAAATGAATGAGCTAAATAAGTCTTTCCTTTTACAGATTGTTAACTACTATGGGAAAATAAACGCAGGGAGGGAAAAAATTCTAAAATTAGTTTCTACTCTGCTTCTGACTCCCTCTGAGCTAAGAACATTAAAATGGGAGCCCTACAAGCCGGTCGTCCTTCCAAGCTGGCCACACCTCCACTCCACATTGGTCTCTCTTCACAGTCTGAAGACCCAAGGTACAGCCAGGAGTGAAACTTCCAGGGTAGGTGCCCGCAGTTCCCTTTTAGCTTCTGCTCTGTTCATGTATCAACAAGTTTGGGCCATTTCTTTAGATATGAATTTTCCCAAGAAATTCTTCCCCTTCGTGGTATGCGTCATATCGCTGGTAAAACTTCCAGTGAAATAACTTTTTATTCTTAATGAGCTGATTGAAAAGCTTCTCCATCTCTAACTCTCATTTTTCATGCGAAGTCAGCAAACTGAATTCCTACAGCCTGCGCTCCACGAAGGTGGGTTTTTTGGTCTGTTTCGTATGCTGCCAATACCTCCAGCGCCTAGAAGCATACATAGCACACAGCTGTTGGGAGTTAAAACACTCATGCCCTTCACGCCCTATTTAGCGATGACGAACCTTGGCCAGGACACTTGTCCACCCACTTCTCGGAATTCAGCCTTTCAGATTCAGGGCTTAGGCAGGTCAAAGTGAAAACCAGCCGTGCAGCACCACCTACAAGTGAAGATCTGTGAAGCACGTCGCTAATCTTGAGATGTTTCGTCTGGAGAGGAAAGTGAACTTCTCCAGAAACAAATCAAACAGTGTTCCGGCGCCGCGTGCTCTGCTTCTGCCCTCCGGGTCAGGTGGGACACAGGAGTTAATAACACACAAGGTGGGGAAGCGGCGGAGCGCTGGGACACGGAACGGACAACCAGCTTAACCCGCCAGCTTTCCTCCACTCCTCTCCTTTCCGTTCCTACGCTGACGGGTGGGGCCAACGCCTGTCTGGCCGGAAAGGGCTGGGCCTCAGGCTCCCATACTTCCGGTCGGCTGGTTTTAACGCGAGCCGCGGGAGCCGACTGGGTGACGTCACGGAAGGGGGCGGAACTGGGGTTGTGTTGGGCATGCGCAGTAGGCCGACCTCGCCGACTCGGGCCCCCTAGGCAGTACTTGCCCATGCTGAGAGGAATTTCCACTGTTGTTGCTGCTGAGGGTACGGGCCTCACGGTCTTCCTGCCAAGGGGCAGGAAACTGGAAGGAGTTCCTGAGCCCGCGAGCCTGCAGCGGAAGTAGAAGAACGTAGGTATCAGTATGTGTGAGAGACAAATCAGCCTCATTTAACAAGTCAGGATGCTACGTTCACGAAAAGGCGTGGGGGTCGAGGTGAGCCCATCGTCCCGGAGTCCGAAGATATCCTTTAGTAGGGGATGGCGGGACCGTCAGAAGTTAAATTACAACCTTCTTGCAATTCTAGCTGGTTTCATTTGTTTACTTTTATGTCTCGGTGAGATGTTTGGTGGCTTCCCAGTTGGCTGCCAATGCCGGAGACGCGGGTTCGATCCCTGGGGGGAGAAGACTCCCTGGAGGAAGGCAGGGCAACCCACTCCAGTATTCTTGTCTGGAGAATCCCATGCACGGAGGAACCTGGGGGGCTACAGTCCATGGCGTCAAAAGAGTAGACGGGATGGAGCAGGCACGCAGCGAGATGGTTGGTAGGCCACATTCTAGTGTGTATTAGTTTAAGTAGATTGTTCTTCTTACAGCTTTTCTTGGCTGGAAGAGAAGGAGGAGTTGGAAATGAAAAAGAGTGCCTTTGAAAGCCAGAACTTTGCTCAGAAGGCAGGATTTTTCTCAGATCTGCTCTCTCTCTTCTCTGCCCTAAGTTCCCTTAAGTTTGAGCAGAGAAAGTAAGTTACAGCAAGTCAAACTTAGGCTGGACGCTAGGGAGAATATAAATCTAACCATAGGCCATAAAGACACAGGAATTTGGGACTGATGGAGACTTAAGTCAACGAGTAAATCAAGTGGCATTGGTGACCCTGTCTTGTCTGGGCGGGGTTAGCATTCCAAAGCAGAGGGGAAAATGAGCTCTGGAAGATGCTGTAAGACTTTAGGAAAAGCTGTTGGCAGGTTTCCTGCCGTGTCACTGGCTGGTGTTAATAATCCTCTGCTTTGTTTTTAGGCCCTGCTTCAAGTGTCTGGAGGTCAGAGAAGCAGCCCAGGGGAGGGAACTGTGACTAGTTAAAGAGAGCCTGCTTACTGCTGCTACCAGATCTCATGTCAACGCCGAGTCCTCAGCGCCTGGTGGCAGCTGCTCAACAGACCCTGGGCACGGGAAGGAGACGGGGCCCTCCCAGAGCCGTCTGCCTTCATCTCGCTGGAGAGGTGCTGGCTGTGGCCAGGGGACTGAAGCCAGCTCTGCTGTTTGAGTGCAGCTCTGCAGGGGCCGCTGAGCTCCAGAGCTACCTGGAGGAGCTGCGGGGCCTGGGCTTCCCGACCCAGGGACTGCACGTCCTCGAGATTGCAGAGAACAGCCTAATTGTCCATCCTGAGCATGTGTGTCGGCACTTGGAGCAGGTGCTGCTTGGGAGCATAGTGTTTGTGGATGTTTCTGGCTCTCAACCTCACCCTTCCACCTGCTCCCTGGACCAGCTGCAGGATTTGAAGGCCTCTGTGGCGGAGATCATCACACACTTGCAGGGGCTGCAGAGGGACCGATCCCTGTCAGTCTCCTGCAGCAGGCTGTGTTCCTCGGCCTGGAATCTCTGTACTGTGTTTGGAATCCTCCTGGGCTATCCTGTCCCCTATACTTTTGATGTGAACCAAGGAGAGGACAACTGTTTAGCCCAGACTCCACTACGAGTGTTCACTGCCCGGATCTCATGGCTATGCTGTCAGCCACCAGTCTTGCTGTATTCCTTTAGTGTGCCAGAGAGCCTGTTCCTGTCCTTGAGGGACATTCTAAATACTTGGGAGAAGGACCTTAGAGCTCGATGTAGGACTCAAAATGACTTTGCTGACCTCAGCATCTCCTCTGAGATAGTCACACTGCCGGCCGTGGCCCTCTGACTTTTAACTTTTCCTGTGTGGAAGGTGCTTGGTAAATGATCAGCTCTAGGTCAGGAATGGCAAATAGGAATCATTTCAAGTTCCAATTGCGAGTATCTCGAGGACACTAGGGAAGAATACTGTAATCCATTTGTCATTTCTGTGCTGAACTGGACTAGGGAGAATAGACCAGGATGCTTCAGGAATAAACAGAGTTCTTCGGGACAGACCATCAGGTGAAATTTATTTATTTATTTTAACAGCAGGTTAAAAAAATACTAAGTCAAAAATCTTAGTTGCGTTGGGAAAACCCAGACCTTGAAGTACCCAAACCTGAGTTATTTTTTTTTTTTTAACTGAGTTTCTTGTTTCTGATTTTCACCCAGGGCAGCAGACACCAGTTAGAGCATCAGGTTGTCCTTATTGGCCAGCATCACTGCCACTGCAATAGCAGTCAGCGCCATCAGCATCAGGAGCCACCGGCCACATTGCCTCTGTGAGGAGGGAAGGGGAGAAAAGAGAAAGAGGCCGTGGGTTGGTCAGAGAAGATACAGGCAAAAATAATCTTCCTCCTTCCCCTTCTAGCCCAGTTGAAAACCTTGGGTTGGTGGAGGAGAGAAAGCTTTTTATATCACTATCTCTGTCACTTTGCCACCTGTCTTGGGATAAAATCACTTTACCAAAGGTCACTGGCCCAGCAAACCACAGCCAACAGGGGCCAAGTACTTAAAAACTGATAGGAATCAAAAGTGGAAAATATTTGAGCAAAATCATACTATTCTCTGTTAATATTCCTTTTGCTTTCTTCACTCTATCCTTGCCACTATGCTCAAAATAGACTGAAAGTACACCATTTCATACTTTAGCCAGTAGTAAGTTTTTCCCTTCAGGCTCAAGAGTCCCATGAAAATTAGTCCCATGAAAATTGGAGGCGTGAGCCAGTGTTTCTTTTCATGGTTACTATGCTGTCAGTACAGTATAAACCAAGCTGAATGGAGCAGGCTGGTCAGATGTTGGCACGGGCTGGGCAGTTTTATAGGCAAGTTTTGGTGGAGGGAGGAAGCATCCCGCCATCATCTCGGGCTCTGTGGGAGGTTAGACTCTTACTCTGGGGGGCGGCTGTTGGCTCTGGCTGAGCTCTTCTCGACAGTGCTGCAGCTTACGCAGGCAGGAGAGGTACTCGTCACTGAGGTTGTCTAGTTCCGAATGCAGCTCTCTGCACTGTGGGGGAGAACATCACCGAGGTCATCACCACAGTTCTGGCGGGGGCAGGGCCCAGGGAGGGCAGAGGGCCCTGTGTAAGCTACCCTGTCATTCATTGGTCATTTGTACCGCCATCCTCCCTTCCCAGCCTTTCTCAGAGCTTTCAGTTTGCCTCTCGACAGTCTCGCCTAGCTTATCCATGTGTTCATTTACATGCATATTTTACATGAAGTGTAATGCATACTGTATATGTCATATATAATGCATATTGTAATATTATGTATTATACGTGTAAGTGCTTTTGTGTGACAGTTGTTACGTGCAAGTGCTTTGTAAATGGGGACATACAAAAGGGCAATTCCTACGGCACAGATGACCTGGAAGTGATCTTAGTGCAAGCCTCTTTGTGGGGAGCTAGTTGCATGTGAATACTTCCAGACATATGTATTTTGTGAGTATGTAGGTAGGAAGAGTTTTGTTATTTAAAAGACCCTGTATAAAGTTTTAAGATACTCATTGTACAACAGAGTTTGAAGAGTTAATGTATTTATTAAATGAGTTTGAGTTTAGGTTGACTTTCTGAAAGGTAACTCCTTAATAAAACTTTGAATAAAGATTGGTATAAAGAAGGAAAAGATTGACAAGTTAAGTTGAAAATGAAGACGTTTTTATACAGGCAAATGAATACCTACAGGCATCTAATCACAACTTCAGCTCTGAAATGCCTGCTGTCTGACTCCCAGCAGTTTCCCTGTCACTGGAGGATGAGTCCCTCCTGTCTGAGGTCACCACCTCACCTCCTTTTCCTTGGCCAGGAGTTGCAGAGTTTTCTTCTGGAGCTCATCTCTGAAATCCAAGTCTTGCTCCTTCCCTGGACCCTCAGGCTCCACTTGGTTATGGGAGGGCTTTGGGCTCCTCACAGGCAAAGCCTGATCTAAAAAAGCAGCCAGATTCTCAGTGGCAGTGAGGCCCACGCCTCTGAGGAAGGGTCCTGACACTGAGAGCACCCTGTGGGGAGAGGGAACGGGACTGGGGGAGCAGGGAAGAGCCTGTCCCTGGCTACACTGCCTGGCTGGCAGTCCTCTGATTTTTAAAGAACTCTCACTGGGAGCATGCTCAGCCTGGACAGAGAGTGGAATTGGAGCCCCTTGAGGGCAAGGTTGGTATCTTTTCTCTGTATTGTTAGTCCTGCTTAATGCCAGATACTTTTAGAAAGTGTTTAGTTTCTTTGGTTGCATGTCACATCTTTTAGTCTGGTGGGTTTGCTGGATGCTTTAGTATAACTCCATTTCCCTGTCCATTTTCCATTTTCCATTTCTGTCCTTGTTTCAAAATGGTGAGAATGGCAATCATAACCTAGAATTCATCTTCATGTAGCTAAAGCTGGTTGATCGGCCCCTTGGCAGTCTGCATCTTGGTGAAGAGAGCCCTGGGCTGGGAGTCAGAAATTTTGGATTGTTGTCCTAGCTGAAGCCTTAATTTGTACGACCAACTACCTTCATTTACCTTCATTTTCTTACCCATCCTACGTGGGCATCACCATTCCAGCTTTCTGTTTTACCCAGTGATTGTGGTGAGAAGACAAATGGCCACATGCAGGGAGTACGGGAGGCGCTGTCGCCCCCCAGATGTGTGGTGAGTCCTCAGGAAGCTGAGGCACCGGCCTTGAGGGCTGAGAGTGAGGTGACTGTTGGATGTGACATAGTTTCTACCTGGGGAGCCGGATGTGGTTTGGAAAGTCAAGGGTAAAAACTGACATAAAATCCTGAGTTCAGAATCAATTTATTGAAATGTTCAATACAGATGTATGTTTTCAGAGGGAGTAGAAATCTTTTCCATAGTTTATATACCTCTCAGGATAGGAGGTTAGCTAGCTAAAGTGTTCTCAGAGCCAGTGATGAGCCCTTAAAGTGCTCCTTTGGCTCCCTGACCTAAGAGTCCCTCACACGGGGTCATGTAGTCCATCCCTCTGCCTCTAGGAGGGCAAGGAAAGAGCAGTATCTTAGAATCTGTGGAAATAACTTTGCTGACCTTTCTTTGTTAAGAGTTTCTCCTGTTCTTGAAGCTGTAAGGATTGGTTCTGAAGCAGACCTGTTGGAAAACATAAGGAACTTGGCTGTGCTGGCGTAAAGAGTGTCTTTCCTGCAGCGCACCTTTTCAGGACTTTGCTGAGAGCCTTAATTACTGTGTTCCCATCTGTAGTTGGCTGAACTGTGTCACCCCCCCCCCACCCCAAATTCATATGTTGAAACCTTGACTTCCAGTACTTCAGAATGTGACCCTGTTTGGAGATAGGTTCTTTGCAGAGGTAATAAGTTAAAATAGGACATTAGAGTCCTATTTTCACATGACTAGTGTCCTTACAGGAAGGGGAAATTTGGACACAGATGTGGACAGATGGAAGACACGTGAAGAGATGGAGAAGACAGCCATCTCCATCTTCTCGGACGGAGAAGAAGGCCATTTCCCTCTTCAAGCCAAGGAAAGCAGTCTAGAATGGATCCTTCCCCCAGAGCCCTCAGAAGGAACCAACCCTGCCTGCCACCTTAATCTGAGAATCCCAGCCTCTAGAGCTATGAGAAAACTGATGTCTGTTCTTCAAGTCACCCAGCTTGTGGTGCTTTGTTATGAAAACACCATCCTTCTATCTCTTTCTACCGTGTACCTTTAAGTCTCTGCGTAAATGTTACCCTAGAAGAAGGACATTCCCAGTTGACCCTGTGTGAAACAGCAACTGTTTTCTCTTTACCCTGCTGTATTTTTTCCTCTGTCGCAGTTGTTAATACTTGACAAGTATTTGTTCATAGAAACTCCATACTTCAGTCTGTTTAGAATGTCAGCTTCACTAGGAAGGAAACCACACCAGTTCTGACTACTGTATCCTCAATGTGTATCTTGGTGCCTGGCACTTGGTAGGGGCTCAGTAAATAAGTACCGAATAAATAAAGGCATGGTTTTGAAGTGCCCATTTGGCCCCGACTGTGTAGGAGCCGGGCTTCTGCTGGTGTTCTTTCTCCCTTACCCCTGTGGCTGCCTGGTTCTTTTTATACTCATTGCTCTCTGCGTGAAACTTCTCTGTCAGGGCGTCAGAGGTGAAGGTGGGCGGCAGCCAGCAGAGCTGTTCATTGTATCAGGTTCTCTAGCATTTCAAAAATTGCCAGCTTTCCTCTGGAAACACCCCTTTTCCTCTTTGGCCTCGACATGTAATTGTGAAGCAGACTGAGTCACATGTATTATGAGCTCATTTTCTGAACCATTCCTACTGACGGGTCTGTGTGACAAACGTACATGATACATTAGAATGTATAAAATAAAAATGACCTTAGAAGACACTTCTTGAAGTCTGCAGTTCCGGGGGGGAATGCAGGTGGTGGCCGTGGGCGTGGAGGAGAAAAGCAGAAACAAACGAAAAACGCCAGAGGCTAATGTGGAACTTGAGAAGAGCTCTCAGTGACCTCACTGCCCAAGAAGAGGGTCTGAACAAGCAGGGGTAGAGGATATGCCAAGGACTGGGCTTCCCATCGCTCCGCTGGATGCCTTTTGTGGGACAGGAGCCCCGAGGATGCCAAAAAGCCGCCTGTGCTACTTTGAGAATCTGGGAAGGGACTTACTCTGCAGCTGCTGTACTTTGGTCACCAGGGCGAGCTTCTCCTCCTCTGACCTCTTTAGTTGATCTGACAATGAAATAAAACAAACCAAAATAGAAGAACCTAAGACTTAAAGAGCTCACCCCTGAGGCTGGAAATTAGTAACAGATGCTGTCTAGCCCACGGCCTCTGACCAGTGTCAAGTGGAAGTTGCTCTTTTTCTGCTTGTCCCAGTTCTGAAGAGGTAAACCAGAACCCTACTACCTTGGATTTCATCTGGATCAACAGTGGGCTGAGTTAAGGGTTGTGTGTGTATATAGCGTTTTCCAAGTGGCTCAGTGGTAGAGAATCCACCTGCCAGTGCAGGAGATACAAGAGATAGATGCAAACTCGATCTCTGGGTCAGGAACATTCCTAGTATTGTCTGGAACAGTACCGGAGTAGGAAGTGGCAACCTGCTCCAGTATTCTTTTTGTTCCCCGCCTCCCCTGCTCCAGTGTTCTTGCCTGGAGAACCCCATGGACAGAGGAGCCTGGTGGGCTGCAGTCCGTGGGGTTGCAGAAGAGTGAGCCCAGCACAGCAGCGTGTGTATAATTTGGTCCCCTCCCAGCTGACGGGGGCCATGACCGGGACACCTCTATGCTTGGTGTTTCTGCTGCCCTTTCCCTTTAAATTAGGAATGCGATCTTGGCACGTGACTGCTCTGGGAGTAACTGTGCTCTGGCTTAGAGGGATAGGCTGGATCCTTTCTGTCTTGGTCTTGGATGATTAAAACAGCCCTGCCTTTTTCTCAGAGTAAAATGAAATCGCCAAGTCAACCAAACAAACAAATGAAAGACTGACCCCTTTCCACCCAGCCCCCTTTCTCTGGGCTCCCAGAGGCCTCCAAGGGGACGGGTACCTTGCAGGTGCTGGGTGTCTGAGCTGCACAGGTCTCTGTCCTCCTGCAGGCATTCAATCCTGGCCTGCAGCTCTTGGTGCTCACTCTCCAGAAGTCGTAGGGCCTGGTTCATCTGTGAGTCCCTGCTGTCTGCTCCCTGGTGGGAGGGGGAGGGGCAGACACAGGCCAGTCAGCGCTAGCTAGGGTGGAGGTGTTGGGCAGATCCCAAGGAAGAAGAAAACTAGGAAATTGTAGAGTAACAGAGATAGAGGGAGCCTGAGGGAAGTGGAAAATGGGAAAAGTTTTAAAACTCTTCAGTTTGCTCTATTCCTCATGCTTAACAACCAATAAGGGATTAGATTTTTGATATCCACAAGGGATTCCTTTGGGTAAATGCCCACATTCAGGAATACCAAATCATTGCTTTTCTAGACGACTTCACTCTGTCTTTACTTCTCATTCTCACGCTATTGATTTTTTCAAGGTGGAGGGGGTAGGCTCATTTTTCACAAAGAGTTAAGGTTGGAAAGGAGAGGGAGTTCATGAGAGTTTCCTTGTAGGTGATTTGAGGAAGAGAACAGTGAATGCAGTGGCCAGTGAGTTTCTCTCCTGTGATAAGATGATTCATTTGTTGTCTCTTATCAAATAGGTTGCCTAGATCCCTGCTTCAGTAAAGGTGGGTCCTCAGAATTCCAAACCAACTAAGTAAAATTGATGAAAAACAACAGCTAATGTTTATTGAAGGCTTATATGTGCAAGGCATTGTGCTAAGTGCTTTGCATGGATTACCTCACTTAATCCTCATAACAGTCTTATGATAGAGTACTATTATCTTTATTTTACAGATGAGGAAACCAAGGCTTAGGTGGTTAGTTAACTTCTCCGAGGTAACATAGGTTGGAAATGGTGAAACCCTTGAGGATGCCAAGAATCCACTATTATGGTTTGAAAAACACATTGGCAAGATGTGTGAGTTGACACTCAACCTTTAAGTGAGCTGGCGACTTTTGTTCTGTGCCAACAGTGGGCATTTCTGAACTGGTTGCCCTCCTGGGGTGGGGTACAGCGAGTGGGTTGGGGTGTGGCAGTAGGCTGGCGAATATTCCAGTCCAGCCCTTTGCATTTGGATGCTGTCATTCCAGTGAACACTTAGGTTATTTGCATGAGCAGTGTAGACAGCCTCGCTAAACTCAGATTTGGGGCTCCCAGCTGAGCAGGATCTTCTCTCATCACAGCTATCAATACCTCTCTCCCCTAAATCCTGCCTTCCCTCCCCACCTCCCTACTCCCAGGGCCTGGTACCTGCAGTTTGGACTGAAGCACATGGAGCTGGCTCTCCAACTCTCTGTGCTGAGTGCCCAGGGTCCTCCAGTCCTCCTTCAGAGCCTCATACTGGCTCTTCCACTCTTCACACTTCTGCTCGGCTAGAGCCAGGGACCGCTGGGGGAGACCAGAGGAGAGGGAGGTGCGTCGGGGGTCCCAGGGACTCATGCCGATGGCTCCCTTGCGGTCCGACCGCCCCAGCGCTCCCAGCCCCAAGGATCACGGAGCGTCCCCACACCTGTGTGCTCTGCAGTTGCTGTTCTGCGCTCATTTTCTCCTCCAGCACCTTCTGCAGTGATTCCTTGGCCTTCTGCTCATAGCTGTTTTTCTGGTCTTCCATCTCTAATAGCACCTTTTTCATTCCCCAAGGGGAGTATTTCTGTAAATTGGATGCAATTCAACAAAGACACATGGAGCTAATGTGTTCCAAGCCCTAAGCAGGGATACAGAAGTGAAAAGAAATTGGTCCTTGCTCACAAGGCAGAGATGTCAGTAATCTGGCAGACTGCCTTCCACGCTGGAAGAGAGTCCCTCAGGTGACATGAGAAGTGAGTGGGGATGATAAACTGCCCCGGGAACGCTGAGCATTCTCCCTGGGGCCTTCCACAGGCACTTGGCATGCAGCGTTTCCAAGAGGAAATCATCTTTTTGAACCTGCTCCTATGTCTGTGAGCAGCAGCATCATCTACCCAGTCTCCCAAGCCTGAAAGCAGGGAGTCATCCTTGATTTCTCTCTCATCTCCAAGGAATCAGTTGGTTATCAGGCTTTGTCAGGTCAGCCTCTGTAAGAGCTCATGCCTGTATCCTCTATCGACTGCCACCTCCTTAGTTCAGACTCTAGTGATACTATTGTATGGGTTATATAGTCTCCCCATCTTCAAGTCTTGCCTCCCTTCAAACTTTTCAGTCCTCCAGCTAGAGGTTTCTTTCTACAACTTCTATCTGATCATGTCACAGCCTGCTTCAATCTCTCATTGGTTTCCAGTGTTCTAAGGTTCAAGTTCAAACTCCTTGGCATGGCTCTTACTTACAAGGCTAGACTTTCATTCCATGCTGCTCCAACCAAGCTGAGCTGCTTGTAGGTCCCCTAAGCACTGTGCTTCTCAGTCTGTGCTTTTGCCCATAAAGCTTCTGCTTAGAGTATCCTGACCCACCCTTTCCACCTGGTTAACTTCTGCTTATGCTCAAGATTCAGCCCAAGAATCATAAAAACTCTGACAAACTTGACTAACCATGTCTATCTCCCAGCTCTTTATGGATTAGGTAGTTTTATTGGTGTTCACATAGTATCGACATTTCTAATCTGTTGACTTATTTGCCTCCTTTAAGGGATTGTAAACTCCTTTGAGGCAGAGAGCATTTAAAAAAAAATAAAATTGTTTTTATAGCCTCAGCGATTTGAACAATCTTCTACTGAAGTTTGTTCTCAAAACTTGAAGTTCTCAAGTTTTAAAAATTAATACCCTAGCATTTTAAAAATTTCTCCTGGCTTCAAGATAAAAAAGCAGAGCAGAGCAGCTTTGCAAATTCACTTGCCTTCCCATGCTTTTCATTTTTATGCCCTGTGATTTTGGGAAAGCTAGAAGCTTTTACTGTTGACTCCGGGTTACCCAACTGGGTAAGAGATAGTCTAGATAATGTAAATTTAGAGTTCATCATGAAATCATTTCCATTTAGCTTTGGAATCATCTGAAAATTTGGTTTTAAATATTGAGTGGGTCTTTTCTTGGAATTGTCATTAGAAGCTAGAAACAGGAGTTATTGATTGAGATCCTATGTCCAGGTTATTGGACGTAATCATGCTGATCACTGGCCAGCTTTATTCCCCGCTGAAAATGAGCAGACTAGCATCCTGGATTGTATGTCAGTCTCTTTCGAGCTTGTTTGGCATTATTTACTTAAGAGTCTGACAAAGTAGGTCATGCTGAAAAAAATGAAAGCTGAATCAGCAAACTTATAGACTAGATAAACCGTATTCCCCTGAAAAATTCTAACTACATGGCCACCTTATTTTCCGAACATCAAGTGGGAGCAATCTAGCTAGTCCACCTCATTCTCTTATCTTCCTACATGTCAGAAATCTATCATTTCTCGAGTGTGAAAACTGATTTTTTTTCTGTCTCATATAGTTCAAGAGCAGGGCAATCAAGAGATTGCTGGAGCTGGATAACAATGCCACAGAAAGCTAGGAGTCACAGTCTTTTACTTTCTCCCAGGCATTGGTGCTAGATGGAAGTTGCCCGTGGGATGAAAATCATTTTGTGAGACTTCACTGTCATATCTAATTCATCTCTTCTAAAGTTAGGGCCTGTGAAGTGCTACCCAGATAAGCTAATCTTTACCAAGGGCCTCTCACTGCTTTTCCAGGTATTCGCAAGGTTTTCCTGGAGCTGGCAAAGTGCTGGTACTGGGCTTCCTTTCCCAGGTGCAAAGCGAAGGACACTGGGAGAAAGGGAGAGGAGGATAGAGAGAGTGAATTGGAGACCAAAGTGAAAATGGTAAAGGCCAGAACTGGGTGAATAGGATGCATGCATTAATCTCTAGCAGGTGACGTTTCTGGAGTAGGCCTGAAGTTCAAGCATTGTCTCCCTTAATTTCAGGCTCCTGGGCTAAAGGTGGCCTCCGGAATGCTTACCTGGGTACAGGCGTACAGCTGGTTTTCTAAGGATCTCAGTTTGCCCTTCAATTTGTCTTCATTAAGCTGGCCCTGGAACAAATGGGATGAGTTAGTGAGTTTGGGCCAAAGTATAGCACGCAGAGACTTTTGCTGTGTATTCCCAGCCTACTGCCTATAATAAACAGTGGAATTGAGCTCCTTTAGAAGGTGGGGTGGGAGGCGGGGGCGAAAGATGGCAAGGGATGTTTGGAAAGAAGAGCATCTTTTCCTCTTTCTCTGGAATAGGTGAAGGAAGGATCAGACTGTTCCCCAAAGTCACCTGTGTACCTCAAAGTTTTCTATCACATGGCTCAGGGTGTCATTGCAGGGGCCCATTTGAAGGATAGATTCTAATCTTCCTTCCTTCCCCTTATCTTCCCTCATCACCTCTCTCCCTCGTCTGTCTAGGCACCTCTGCTCCTCACCTCCTCTCAGTCCAGTACGTGGACCTTTACTTCTAAAAGCCGGGAAGACTAAAGGGGTCTCTCCTCCCTGGGGGAACATGCATTCCCTCCCTTACCCCCGACGTGGTCTGAGTTCTGTGCTCCTATCCCCCGGCCCCCAGCATTCAGATGTCGACATCCTAAGCCCCAGTACCTTGGAAGGTGACTGTGTTTGGAGACAAGGTCCTTAAAGAGGTAATTCGGTTAAAACGAGGTCATGAGGGTGGGCCCACGTCCAGCATGACTGGTGTCCTCATGAAAAGAGGAGATTCGAACATCGATGCGCGGAGGGCGGGCCATGCGAGGACACGGCCTCCATCTGCAGGCCAGGGAGAGGGGCCTCGGAAGAACCCGGCCCTGCCAACAGCTTACTCTAACACTTGCAGCCTCCAGAACTCTGGGAAAACACATTCCTGCTGGGGAAGCCACCCAGTCTGTGATACTTTGTTATAGCAACCCTGGTGAATGAGTACTGTCCCCTCCTGGCCACACACACTCACACACACACACACACACACACATGCGCACACACACACACACACACACACACATGCGCACACACACACACTCATACACACACACTCACACACTCACACACAGTCACATACACACACACACTCACTCACTCACACACACAGCGAATGAGTACTGTCCCCTCCTGGCCACACACACACACACTCACACACACACGCACGTGCACACACACACGTGCACACTCACACACTCACACACATGCACGTGCACACACACGCACACACACACACCCCCACACTCACACACACACACGTGCACACACACACTGACACACACACACACACACAACTGAAGATGAGAAATTCTTTTAAGAAAGCAGGAAAGGGAGCAAGGGTGTAAAGGCAGGTTTTGTATGTGTGTGTGGTTGCGATGGTAAGAGGAATTCCCAGAAAGCCACATTTTATTTATTCACGAGCTGGGTCGGTCTGGTGGCGTTTTGGACACACCAAGAGGGACGCTAATCTCAAGGGCGAGCGTGGAGAAAGGCAGGCGGGAAGACCTGTTCCTGCCTCTGTTTTTCAGTATTTCTGCTCAGCAGTTACAGCTTCCTTGTTGCTTTGTTCTTTCCCCCCACCTGTAGATGGCTCCCTTGTCCCCACGGAGCGGTTCTGTTTTTCCAGCCCTGAGTGTGATTTAAGGTGTGTGTGTGCGTGTGTGTGTGTGTGTGTGATTTAAGGTGTGTGTGTGTGCGTGTGTGCGTGTGTGTGTGATTTAAGGGTGTGTGTGTGTGATTTAAGGGTGTGTGTGTGTGATTTAAGGGTGTGTGTGTGTGTGTGATTTAAGTGTGTGTGTGTGCGTGTGTGTGATTTAAGTGTGTGTGTGCGTGTGTGTGTGTGTGATTTAAGGGTGTGTGTGTGTGTGATTTAAGTGTGTGTGTGTGCGTGTGTGTGATTTAAGTGTGTGTGTGTGCGTGTGTGTGTGATTTAAGGGTGTGTGTGTGTGTGATTTAAGTGTGTGTGTGTGCGTGTGTGTGTGTGTGCGCATGCCGTGGATGCCAATTTCCCTGTGTGTGTGTGTGTGTGTGTGTGGCATGCCATGGATGCCAATTTCCCAGAGAAAAGGCCGTGGGTCTCGTTAGTGGTAACTGGTTTTCATAGCCTTTCCCTGGGCTATTCCAGCCAGGCCCTGTGGGACACTTGTGAGGTCTAGAAATTACATTTCTCCTCAGGCCCGAGTCGCCAAGGCCCCTCAGTCGTGCGGCTTGGCCGTTTCCAACTCTTGTACCATTTTTGGTCTGTAACGGCCAGAGGAGACTGTTTTGTGGTCTGTCCTCCTCAGTGAGTTTCGGGGCACCTGGGGGAGTCAGGAAGTGGTATCTCACAGCTCCTGTTTTGATCTTTTGGCTGATTCCTCTAACCCAGGGAGCCAAGGGGCGCCCCCCCCCCCCCTTTTTGCTTCCTGTATTCCTCAGCTGGGTCTTGCAAAAGCAAAAAGGCTTTGCCAAAAATAATTTTTCAAGCTGCCTTCTGCTGTTAATGTTTTTCGTAATGTCTCGTGTGAGAGCTGAGAGTCAGGGATTTGGCATCTACAATAAACCACAGGGCTTTGGGAGCAATAAAGAGATGGACAAAGACTTCCACTGTTGCTGGCTTTGGAGGGACTGGGAAGAGTTACTCCCCTTAGTGGCCTGTTCATTGTTAATCTGAGGGTCCTGAAGTTGACTCCCTCTGCCCAGCACCCCAGCTCCTCCTCCGCACTTCAAGTCGTCAGACTGTTTTCCTCTACACAGTGGACATGAGTTTGTGCAAACTCCGAGAGACAGTGAAGGACAGGGAAGCCTGGCATGCTGCAGTCCGTGGGATCGCAGAGAATCAGAGACGGCTGAGGGACTGAGCAACAACAAACTCTTACTGTGCAGGGTGCAATCAAACCCACTGAGCTTGAAGGTTTATCTTGCAGTAGTTTGGGAAGAAAACAAATCCGTGGCGGTATTCTTACATTTCCCCCAGGCTCCTACTCTTTCTGGGTAGCTCCTTTCTCCTTCCTTAGTATGGTTTTAATCCAATCTTTTTGCCTCTTCCAGCTGTTTTTTTATGTTAGCCGCACCCCAGATTACTTTTCCATTCATGTTGCAATAGAAGACAGTTCAGGCTAGCCCCTTCAGTGGGGATGAAGGGCCACCCAAGTCTGAGGTTTGAACACATCCCTGACCCGCAGCTCCACCTTCCTAGACTCCCCAAGTCAGGCAGGAAAGTTGCAGCCAAGTTGTTGCAAATGGGCCGTGCAGTTTCCTGGTCCACGCCCTAAGTCTCCCTGTACCAAGCCCAGTGGTAACAGTACGGGGAAAGAGCACTTTTTACAGGCCACTGTGGGCCTTGCATCCTGGGAACCCGAGTTTCAGAGAGCAGAATAGCCTCTGTTGTAAAAGGGAGGCCATACACACCTGGTGTCGGTCTGAGGGCTTCAGGTCCTGCTGCTTCTGCTTGGCTTCCCCTGCCTCTGACCTGCTCTCCAGAAATACCACCACCTCACCGCAGAAGCACCAGCCCACTTCTTGTCTCTGTTCTAGCAGAGGTTGCTTAGGGCCAATCCCCTGCTGCACTGTCATCTCAAGATCTCAGTTTCACTTTGCAGAACTTAAAACCCAAGCGTGTCCTGCTTCTGGTCTGTACTGCCCAATACTGAGGGCTCGTTTTCTCTACCGCCTGAACCGTTTCTGCTTTGAAGCTTGGGCCCAGCGCAGGAGTCTCTGCAGTGCCCCAGGGCCTGTCGCATCCAAAAGGCTCAGCATCAGCTTGGAGGCTGGATGCACTAGAGGGAGCTGGTCCCTGGTGTTCTAACAGAGTTTGTGGGGAGCTGCCTGTGAAGCTGGGCATTTAAATTAGGGAGGCCAAATGGAAACGAAGGCCCGAACATAACTCAAAGTCAGAGTCCCTGTTCTGGCCACACTCTTCCCATTACTTTTCCCCAATACTGTAGTCTGAGACTGTCCTTCTGCTGAAGAAGTGGGGTGAATTGTTTGGGGGGAAGCAAGAGCAGTTAACTGAAAAATCTGAGATGATTTTTCTTAAAAACAGGAAGCTGAGGGTTGGTGGGGAGGAGGAAGACAAGAAGAGTGAGTATTAGTTGGGGAGGAAGGAGGGAGTAAACCACGGCCCGGAGGAACCCCTGCACCCTCCCCTGCTGCTGGAGTGTGGAGTGGAGCAGAAACTGCTCTCCTGTCTGCCTGGAGATGTCTCTCAATAAATCCCCCCGCCCCCAAGCTCTGGCTGTCTCCTACCTAGGATATTAGGAGAGCTTTCCCCACCCCTGCACCCACTGGGAGCCCGAGTGCTCACTGTTGTCAGAGAACCTTTTAAAATGCAGAGCTGAGCCATCACTTTCAACTCAGTTCCGGCTGTGTTACTTATTTACTTATTGGCCATGTGGGGTCTTGCTTCCCTGACCAGGGATCGAACCCTCGCCCCGCTGCCTTAGCAGCACAAAGTCTCAACCACCGGACCTGCAGGGGAAATCCCTAGTACATATGCTGCTAAGTGAGCACAACTCCACAGCTACTGGACGAGCTCCTTCTCAGGATGAGCTGGACATTTCTAAGTGTAGGACTTCAGACCTGAGGCAAGCACATCCCATTGCTACTGCCTGCAGCAGTGTGTCTCAGACTGGAAAGAACTCGTGCGTTCTCATGATACACACACACACACACACTTGTGCTTTAAAAGGGAATTCATGACTATTTAAGTTTGACATAGCCTACTCAGCAGAAAATATTTAAGAGCCATAATATTAGAGACCTCTCTGAGGTCTTGTCTTTGAAGCTCCTCTGACACAATCCCTTCATTTCCGTCACACTCGGCCCTGCCCCACCATTCTGTTACTCCCAGGCCTGTAGTCATTTAGATTGCTTTATGGTAAGCACCCTTGTCCTTTCTACTTTCTCTCCCCCTTCATCATTCCTGCTTCTGTCTTGGTTGGGCTTCCCTGGTGGCGCAGCTGGTAAAGAATTGGCCTGCAATGCAGGAGACCCGGGTTCGATTCTCTGGGTTGGGAAGATCCCCTGGAGAGGGGAACGGCTCCCCACTCCAGTATTCTACCCTGGAGAATTCCATGGACTGTGTAGTCCATGGGGTCGGAAAGAGTTGGACACGACTGAGCGACTTTCACTCTGTCCGGGTAAACTCCTCCTCAGCCCTTCTAGACACAGCTAAAGTGGTCCCTTGCCTCTGGAGCCTACCCTGTTCTGCCACAGGTGGAAGAATCCCTCCCTTCTCTTCTGCCTGGGTCCCTTTGTAGAAAGTGCTGTTACAGCCTGAGCACGCTGCAGTTAGGTTTATTGATGACTTGTCTGTCTCTTCCTGGCTGCTGTGGGAAGTCTACTGCCTTTGCCTGCCGCACCCGCCCCAGCACATAGTCGGGACTTATCAGACGTCTGTGGAATAAATGAATGAGACAGTATCGTTTAGGTCAGCCCCGGAAAGCACCTGGCATGCACAGCTGTCTGTCTCAGGGAACTATGCTATGAAAACCACTTCCTCAAGCAGCGGGAGCCCTGAATGTAGACACCCAAATCCAGGTACGATGATCAACGGGAACAGGGCGGGCTGAGCCTTGGAAATCTCTTTGACATCACTGCAGGCTTCGCACATTTGTCCCACACCTTCCTGTCCCAGGTGGGATGGCTTTCTAAGCACAGCCATACACGTGGACGGTCAGATGTTCACAGAGGCCTGTGAGGCTGTGTGTTCTGTCTGTGCACCTGTGGCTTTCTGCTCTGGTGGCATCAAACTGCTTGAACACTGCCGTCTAGGAGTTTCAGTGTGGGGTCCAAGGACCCCCGGGAATCCAGGATCTGCAAGGTCTTCCCTTTTCCAACTGTATTTCTGTGTAAGGTTAGATTTTCCTCATATAGTTCAGCAAAACAATGTATTAACAACAGATCGAATGCAGATTCAATAGCTGTCTTCGGTTCAGACATTAAAAAGATTTGTATAAGTATAAAGCAGTGTCACTTCTCTCACCACTTAAAAGTATTTTTCAAACAATATATAATTTAAGTTCCCATGTAATCTGTCTACTGTTATTTTAAACTTACTGCATACTTTAAAATTCCTGTTTTTACTTCTAAATGGTAAATATAAACTTTCTTTGGATTTTAATATTATTTTTCAATAATAGCGCTACATGTGGGGTCTTAGCTTCCCAACCAGGTTTTGAAACTGTATCTTTTTCATTGGAAGAGCAGAGTCCAGTGGACCACCAGGGAAGCCCCTGGATGTTAGTAATTTTTTAAAGAATTTAAAGGGGTTGTGATGATAAGAAGCTGGAGACTATATCATGCCTCTGGTTCGTTGCCTGTGCTGTATCCCCTGCCCAGAATATAGTTCTTGTTGCCACATTTGCCTGGAAAATACTATATGGATAGTCAATGCCTTGAAATATAATTATAAATAATTACCTGGTTCTCCCCTGTATTCTACTATATCCTGAAAACACTTCTTTTATTTCTCATATCTCTTCACTGTTTAGGCATCTGTCTCCCTGAGAAAACCACAAGCTTTCTAAAAGCAGGAACCCTGTCTGATTAATCTCATTATTTCCAGTGCTCAGTGCAGGGAACATGATCTGTGAATATTTGTTGGACGAATGAACTAAAATCAGGAGGTCTGAATTTAGTTCCAGTTCTGCCTCTGACTAGCACTGTGACTTTAGCAAGTCACCTGACTTCCCTGACAGTTTCCTCAGGGGCAAAATGAGAAAATTAGACTAGATAATCTCTAAGTCGCTTCCTGCTTTCACATTCATGTCTGGGGCAAAAAGTAGGTGCATGGTGGCTGAAAGTTAATATTGATATGAATTCCATACAAAAATAGTTGATATTTACCATGGTCAGTAACAGGAAGTGTATTGAGACCTTCTTATTTTTCTTCCAACAAATTAAAAAAAGGAAGTTCTTGCCCCTTTTGATTCTGGGTCTTCCCTGGGTGAGTGGCAACGTGGTCCTCAGCTGATGACCCTGGGTTCAGCCACGCTCTCCCATGTATCTACTATGATATGTTGGATGTCTAACCCTACCTTGCGCCTCTTCCGTAGTGAGAAAGCGCCTTCTCTTGCTGCAGTGGTACGGAAAGAAGAAGATGGGCGCATGTAGAAGCCACTGAGCTCTGTTCAAACAAAGGTTTCCCTTACCTTCCAAGTGCTGTCAGAGGCCTGTATCAAGGTAGACAGTAGGTCTTGGAGAATCACCATTTTCTGTTTTAGAACCAGCTCCCTTTGTAGGGCCTCCTGAGGGGCAAAATGCAAGCAGGTTAAAATTAACCTGGAGGAGAGCAGACAGATGGAGGAGCTAAGGGGAGAGTTCATACTACTTACTTTGAGGTACTCAGAAAGCTGGATGATTTCCTAGAGAGAAAGAAAAAGGGTGTTTAAGAAGATTGTGGCTTCCCCGAAGTCCTAGAACATGGAACCCGAGCCAGGATTGGCTTGTGCTAAGTGAATTTTCTTCCTGGACTCAGGGTCCCTCCAGGCTTCCTTGTCTATGCTCATCCAGGGAGAGGACGCCCCATCCATCCCAGCTGAGTTTACCAATGAATTCCAGAGCTTGGAGGAGATTAGATACCATGTGATTCTACACCTCCACCATGAGGATTTTCTTACCTTATCTAGAACTGCAACTCCATAACTGGAAGAGAAGAAAAACAAAAATGGCAGTGGATCAAAGAAACAGGCATGTCATGGGGCAGGGTATTGATTCCTTCTCTCATCTCTTCTGGAGAGCCAATACGGTGGGAAAGGCCCTCCTTTTTCTTAATTTAGATGGATGTGGAAGTTCCTTGGGTTCCACTCCACATTCTGGGGGAGGGTATTCAAGTGAAAGCTTAGAAGAGAGGAATGGATGGGCTGTGGGGGAGCTGGGGCCAGGAACATGAAAGGTACTCACTTGGTTTGCTGACTGGCATCATTCTTGAGTGTTGACTGTGTTTCTCCTGCCTTTGTCTGAGTGCCTGAGAGGGAGGGGATAAGGTGATTCAGGAGGCATGGGAGAGGCAGTGAGGGAAGTGGGGAGGGGTAGGGACTCTCCACTGCCAGTGAGCTGAGACAGTCATGGCAGGATTCTCTGCAGGCCCCAGTGAGGAAGGGAATCTCTTACCACGGTGGTGTTTGGATGCCTTCTTGATGGGAGAGGCCTGTGGTGGAAGGTCTCCAGCCTGGGTGGTGAGGTGATCAGCTGGATCCCTCCAGGCACCTGAAGGAGGATGGTTTTGGGTTGCAAAGACCTTGGAACTGGTCCCTGACTCCTGGAAAGCAAGTGGGGAGGGGGGTGTTGCTGCGAGCCTAGATAGAGCGTCTTTGAACAGGGTTCTCCGGCTGACTGCAGAAAGATGAGCCAGCGGTGAAGTTTCGGGTCCAGAACACCAAAGGAACCAATTCTAGACTTCACAGCCCCAAGCTTCCCCCTGCTCCTGCCCTCCCTGGTCCTGGCTGGTGGGATCAGGTCCTCCTCAGGCCAGGCAGATGGGGAGCGGGGCTGGTGTCCAGTTAAAAGTGTAAAGTCTTAGTCACTCGGTCGTGTCTGACTCTTTGCGACTCCATGGACTCCTCAGTCCATGGGATTCTCCAGGCAAGAATACTGGAGTGGGTAGCCATGTCCTTCTCCAGGGGTTCTTCTTGACCCAGGGATTGAACCCGGGTCTCCCGCATTGCAGGTAGATTCTTTACCATCTGAGCTACCAGGTCCCCTGTGACTCTCTCTCAAGTCCATGATCCCAGCCCCTTACACAGCCAACATGGCGCAGTGGAAAGAGAACTGGTCTGAGGAGGGAGTGAGGGGGACCAGGGACCAGCCTTTCCTTGGTCTCCGCCTCCTGTCTGTGTAGTGATGAGTTTGGAGCAGACGGTCGCCAGGGTGCCTTCCATATTCTAAGGGGGCTGCCTTCCTCTCAGGGAAGAGGACTGCCTTCCTCTCAGTGCCAGCTGGAAGATGGCTGACGGTCGCGTGAAGAGAAGGCAAAGTAGGCAGCAACGGGGAGGAATGTGTGGCAGTCGTCACAACCAGCCTGCTTTGTAAATATTTTCATCCTGCAAACTAAAAACTAAAAAAATTCTATGTTTGTAATTAACACGGAAAGGCTGAGAAATGCCTATGGCAGCTAGTCATGCAGATTAAATCTCAATAAGCCTTACATAACTGACAGGTTCAGGAGGAGTTCTTTAGGCAACTGTGTGTTTATTTATTTATTTTTTCTCCTTAAAATTATTTTTTTTTCCACCAAATCATTCAGAAAGCGTCTTGCCTTAGAAAGTACACCGTTGGTTTTCTTTTACAGTTGGGCTCAACGATCGTTTTTCTGAACAGCACCTCCTGTGGTGGATAACAGATGCATCGGCTAAGAAAGCCTGATAGAACACCTGTTCTGGGGACAGGACAATATCAGGCACTTCCAGGGACGTTAGAGAACCCGTCCCCACTGTCCACATGCTCACAGCGTGGAGAGGAAGACACAGATGGTTTGCTGGCTGAGCTCATTTCAACATACCCTTGTTTTTTTTTTTGTCAACACTGCTCCTTCCCAGGCCAGACTGATGGGCCCTCTAAGAGTTACACAATCTTCGAGGACTTATAGCCTCATAAGGACCACAGAGAGCAGAGGTGGTCTGAAGCAGCTAGGGCAGCTAAGGTTTCCTGGACCAGACACAGCCTTCAGTGAGCAAAGTCAGTTGAATAGGGATGGCCTGAGAGAAGGTGGGTGATGCAGCTGCCTTATAGAAGAGTGAAGACAAGAAATGTGTGTGTGTGTGTGTGTGTGTGTGTGTGTGATTCAAGGGGGACATTAAGAAGATCTGGCTTGTGTCCCTGGCCCACAATAAGCACTCAGTGAATGTTTGTTGAACAATGATGAATGAGTGCTGTAGAAGATATATCTAGATAGACTGATTTGGAACGAATACTAGGAATTAGCTGTGGAATTTTTTGAAAATTATTTTTCTCTTTCCTGAAAGGCAAGTGCAAAACAACAACAATAAAAAGTAGGTAAACAAGCCCCCCCTTGCCCCCCCAAAAAAAACACAAGAAGAAAAATATCTGAACAAGTAACTGGCTAAGGGAGACTCTATGATGACTGAGGAGGAGGGACTTCATTTGAATCACTTTTCAGTGACCTCGAGCCCGCCCACCTGCCCTGCTCCCTCAGCCCACCTGCTCCAGGGTAGTGTGTCCCTTGACATGGCCCACCTGCTCTGTCAGGGAAGAGATCCTGTTGGCCCAAGACAAGGGCTCCTTGAGGTCAGCGGCCTGGCCTGTCCTCCTGGAGGGGCCTGGCTCCCTGGCCGGCGGGCTCTGTGCCTCGCCTTTCTCCTCCACCTCCAGGTTCCTCCGTCTGAAAAACTGCTGCTGGCGTGCTCTCCGGAGCTGCTCCCTCTGCTGGGTCCTCGGGGCCTTCCCCACAAGGCGGCAAGTGGTCACGTTGGGGCGGCAGCGGCGGCTCTCACGGGTCTCCTGCCGGCGCTCGCTCTTAGCCTCGTAGCTCTCAGCCCACCGGGCCAAGCCAGGGGCAGGCCTGGGGTCTGGGCCGATCATGATGACCTCCTGAGCACCTGTTGTTGCTTGGCTTCCAGTTCCTGGAATAGCTGCCCGGGTCTGCCCAGTGCCAAGAGGGAGGCAAAGGGGAGGGGTCAGGAGATGGGCAGAAAAATGACCACCTCTCTAGATGAGGGGGCAGAAATAGCACTGTGTCCCATACATGTGGGCTGAAAACAGGCAGGGATGGTGTCACGCGGGGATTCAGGACTCCTGGGTCCAATCTCTCGACTAATCTCTGCTCTTCTCAGGCCCGTGCCTCCCCTTCTGTAAAGTGGCGAGATTCTTCTGGCTGCCACTTCTTCCTTGACCGAACATCTCAGCCTGTCTCCAAGGTAGGGAACATGAGAAATAATGGATAAAAAATCACTAAAAACCTATAGCCCTTTGGATGGCAGATGCGGACGTGTGCCTTTTCCAGGAACTTCTAGAGAAGCAGTTAAATTGGCTCCCTCTTCCCTAGTCTAAAAGAAAGGCCAGCACCTTTATGCTCTCTTGGCCTAGTTACTAAAGTACTAATAGGTGAGTGACTTTTCTCGAGGCCTGGACAGACAGCCAGACCCTGCAAGGTGCAGCCAGTCCATAAGCAGCACCCACTGCCCTCTGCTTAGCCTTTAGCAGCTGCCTTGTGAGCCTGGTTCTGTGTGTGGTTTAGGACGGAAACCTCGCATTATTGCCTCCAGTCATGGGGTCCTGACGTCGGTCCCTTGACATTCCACTCCTGGCCCAATAAACTGAGCTCTGACCCTCAGGTTCAGATCAACCCAAATCAGTACTGGCTGAGCACCTGTGCATTACTGGCCAAAAGCCATCTCAGAGCTTTCAGCTCAGTATCTCTCTGAGCAGAGGGTTCCTTTGCTTTTAGGATCACCTCCCTGTTAGGGCTAAATGTGGTGGCATGTCTGCTTTCCTTAGCCCAGAGCCAGATTGTGTCATCAAAACCAGCAACCAGATGGGCTATTCCTAAATGAGGCTGTGTTTCAAAAATGAGACAAAAGTAAACAAACTCAGTAACCAGAAGTCCCCAGGGAAGCAGGCTTGGTGTAGAGGCCACACTAGCTGAGCCTTTACACGACCTTACCGGCTGACTCACACCACCCCCAGCCCTCACCCCTTCTTCCTTCTCTGTGCCCTGCTCTCTTTCCTATTCCCCTCATCTACCTTGTGCAACTTTGTCTGTTCTCCTAGAACCCTCTGGTAGCTTCGCTAAATTGGGGCTGGACTGACGGCTTCCCTGGTGGCTCAGCTGGTAAAGAATCCACCTCCAACGTGGGAGACCTGGATTCGATCCCTGGGTTGGGAAGATCCCCCTGGAGAAGGAAATGTCCACCCACTCCAGTATTCTGGCCTGAAGAATTAATTTCATGGACTGTATAGTCTATGGGGTCACAAAGAGTTGGACATGACTGAGTGACTTTCATTTTGGCTGAGATGGATTCTGAGCTCTGGAAATTCTGGTCCCTGTCTCCACTGGTCCCCGGAGGCAGCCCAGAGACTCATGAAGGGAGAGGGACTTCCCCTTATAGCTGCTGTTTCTGTCCATCCACAGCCTCACTCCCCACCATCCTGGGAACCTAGTTCCTGCGTCGTAGGTCAGAGAAGGGTTCCTCAGCCTCAGCCTGCAGTCGTTTGCCCACTCTGGCCCCTTGGGTCTTTTTATAGGTCAAACAGACTCAACCGGTAGCAGCCTGTCTGCCCTTATCATTGGCATTTCCCTGCGCCTCCTGGCTCAGTCTGGAACTTTCTGCAGGATTCTTGCTCTCTCTCTGGGATCATGACATTCCTTCTTGGGGGTCATGGGTGGGGCAGGCTCACACCCTGAGTAGGGTCTTTCGTGGTCAGGCCCTGCCCACTCTCCGGTGCCTGACTCTCCAGTGGAGCGGGCATCCTCTGGTCTCGGGCAGTGCTGACCCCAGGCAGAACGGTGAGGCTGTCAGTGCCCATCCGCTCGTCCCGTCCCTGGGGGCCTCTCCCCTGTCTGTCGGCTTTCCTCCTCGCTCCTATTCTGCAGGGTCCCCTTCACTTCTCACCTACCACTTTCCCATTTTAATCTTAGGAAAAGATCTGAGAGGCCCATTCCTATTAAATTATGAATGACTGGATATGCTGGTAAACTCCATGTTCAGAAGCTATGCTTGTGGTGTCCCAGGCCATCGGCTGTGGTTATTCTGCCGTAGATGGGGGAGGCAAGGACCCCTGGCCATGGACTCAGACTGTGTGGACTCCTGTCCTGGCCCTGCCACCGACCACCCATGTGCTTTTGAAAAGCTACTGATTGTCTCTGTGTCTCTGTCTCCTCATTTGTAAAGTGGGAACCTGCCTCCTAAGGTTATGAGGCTTAAAGAGAAAATGCATGCTAAGCATCAGGGATGTAACACACAATAAATGTTAGCTTTTTCTAATGACATTATTATTACTCCCGTCCTCCTGATCTTGGATATTGAAGACTCAGTGCTATAAGACAGAGGTTCCAAGCTAAGCTAGCACTCCAGGACCCAGAATGCCCAGTCCTCCAATCCCCCCACCCCCTTCCTCTTTGAGGGGTACTGTTTACCCCCTGGAAGGGATGCTGGTTCTGGGTTGAGACCATATTTAACTGTTGCTCTCTTCATCTGACTTCTGGGTGTGGGCTACAGGGAGAAAGGGCTGCCTTGTGGTCTGGAAACAGCCACCGTCTCAGGCCCAGCAGAAAGGCAAAGGAGAGTGAGTAAAGAACCGGTGTGCGGCCTGCCTGCCTCCCACCTTTAAAAGGTGGGGTGCTAGATCCCCTCCCTGCATGGTTCCAGGTTATCCCTCAGGCTTCATAGAGGAGACTGTGGAGAACATTCCTGCCTCCTCTGGCCGTGAAGAGCAGAGGGCTGCTGGGCGCAGATAAGTGTACGGGCTTTGTCTGCACTGGTCCGTGGAAACACGTGGCTGCCTTGCTCTACTTCCGGGGGGGCAGACATTGGCACCTGTTGCCCAAACTGGGGGTGGCAGTAGAAGAGGCTGCTCAGGGAAGGAGGAGACCCTCCCAGACCCCAGTCTCTCACAGCGGGGGGATTTGGTGTGGCACAGCTGAGTAGAATCATCCCAGCTTTCTGGGAGGTCTCAACTATTCCGATTTGCTCTAAACATAAGAAGCCATGTGGATGGCTGACTGACAGAGACGGGCTGTGGGAGAAAAAAGGAACTGGTCCCCGTGTGGTTCAGAGAAAGGTCACTGGGCCACTGCCCAGGCAGCCCTTGGCAGCTTGACAGGCCTCAGCTGGAGCTCTGGGAAGAGGTGGTACTAGCTCGGGGGGCTGTCCTCAGTGCCCCTGGGGATGTCAGGAGGCTGCCCTCACTGAACAGGGCTTTGTCGCTGCCTTTCCCGGTCTTGGCTCCTACTTCCCGGCTGCATGTGTGATGAGTGGCCTCTTGCATGAATGAATGGTCAGACCTTCCTAGTCCAGAGCTCTCAGCATGAGCTAGGAGCAAAGGGCCTGCACCCACGCCGCTGGGAAGGCAGCTGGGTGCTATGGGGTCCCTGTGGGGCAGGGAGCTGTGAAATGTATGGCCCATCCCTGGGAGCCTGTATCCTCAGTTGTCTGACTCCCGGCTCATCTCATCTAATGGGTGGAGCAGAGGACACTGGGAGCTGGCCCTCTGGAGACCAACACGGGCCACTTCCCTGGTTCCCCACCCCCAGCACTCAAACCACCGGAGAGGACGGTGTCTCCCCCTTCAACCCGGGGAAACTGGCAGACACAGCGTCTTCTGCCCCACCCCAGAGTCAGAGGTCCCCAACCTGGATGCAGAAGCCTCCTCCTTCTCAGTTACCTGAGGTTCCAGGCTCCAACCCCAGCAGCTCAGGAAAGCATCCCAGCTCCTGGGCAGGTCTCGGCTGTGGTCTCCAAAGGGGCAAGATCTCAATCCAGGGCTCGGGGCCCCCTGAGCATTTCCCTTCCTGGTACTCTTTCTTTTTGCACAGCAGCCTTGCTGAAACAGGAAACAGACAAAGCCACAATACTTGCTCACCCCGGTTCCTCTCTCTTGCTCTCTGGCACGATCGGAGGGGCCCCAAACCCTTGAGGCCTCCAGGGCCGAGCTCAGGAGCGCCCCCCACCGGCGGGCACCCCAACCGCCCTTTCTCTTCCGATTGGGTTGGTCTGAACTCTCAGACAGGTTCACGCCAAAATTCCCTTTCCAAGATTAGACAAAAACGAGTCTCTGGGTCAGAGTCAAACCTTGCAACTTGCAGGGCTGGAATAGAGATGCAGACATAAAGAACAACTTGTGGACACAGTGCAGAAAGGAGAGGGTGGGGCGAATTGACAAAGTGGGATATATATATATATATACACTACCAAATGTAAAGTAGGTAGCTAGTGGGAACCTGCTATAAAGCACAGGAAGCTCAGCTTGGTGCTCTGTGATGACCTAGAGGGGTGGGATGGAGGCCTGGGGTGGGGAGGGAGCCTCAAGAGGGAGAGGATGTATGTGTACATAGAGCTGATTCACGTTTTTTAATACAGCAGAAACTAACACAACACTAAAGCAATTATACTCCAATTAAAGCAAATTAATAAGAGGATTCAAACCTTGTAGCTTCTACAAAGGGGGAAAAAAGGCCTTTTTCATCCATAAGAGAGGTTCCCAGTGTAGGTTTTTATCTGTATCAGGTAGTTTTCTGTGTAAGGATTTTCTCTTCCCTTTAGTTATCTCTTCTCTATCTTGGTATCATAAAGAGGTTCTGCTCCTCTAAAGTACTAGTATTTCTGCAGAACTCTGAAATGAGGCCAGCTCTGAATTTGCTCCTTTCTGAAGCAATGGGATCAGGGCCAGGGGATGGGGGAAGGTGAAAAGATGGTGGTTGATTGATTAGGGGATAAATGGAGCAATAGCAGGCAGAATCATAGGAGAATTTCCTAGTCCCCTGAACTAGGAAATTTGGGGGAAAACTAAAAGGAATTTGTCTGTGCCTTAAAAAGGAACTATTACAAATGCAATAATCAGGAAATTCCCAAGAAGTTCAGGGT